CTAATTACATAATCCAGTCCCAAATCAACCCTATAGAATGGAGAATCTGTACCTATAATATTGGCCTGATCACAAGTGTCCGAATAGAATTGACACAAATTGAAAGTGTTTCAAAATGACCTGCCCTGTGATGTTTAATATCACATACATATTTTCGGGCATTTTGTTAAAGGAAACCCTTAGAATGAATATAAAATTTAAATTTTCAAACTAGGCCAATAGAGTATAGTCATCTTATTCATATACATCTATCATATTTACCTTTCCCAAGTCATAATAATAGACTATGTTTCGGAGGCCTATACCCCCCCCCCCCCCCCACCACCAACCCAAAAAAGACTTTTGCATTGTCCTTGAATAATCATATTTGTTGACACACTATATGCGTATTATTAGAATACCTCTTGATTTATTCATTCATAAAGCAAATTAATAGTATATTGACCCACAATTTACCACCAACACTGATTAATCTGTTAATATTTATTACCTGTCAGATAGTGTATTTTCATATCGTAGGAAATTCCAATTGCGTAGGCGTAATTATCTGTGTACCCTATTTTCCCATTCCCCTTTAATCCATTTAAAATATGAATTTCCATATCATGCCTTTTCCTCACAGAAATAGGAAATCCCGATTTTAACTTATAAATTCTCCGCGTTCAGCATATAGGCTGACAGTATTAACTCGGATGTTTATCAGTGAAGGTTTAAGGATTACTTACAATGAATTGGATCTAACATGTCTAAGTTTTTATCTGTATATTATGTTCTTGTTTCAATTGTTTGGCTGTGTAAGTTATATATAGTAATAATATATATAGTATCTATATCTCGGGTTCACTATTGAGAACGTTTTAAAATGCGCACGCCTAGGTCTAGTAACTTACTTATACCTGCTTTATTGATTAAACGTCGGCATTTGTCAGTTAAAAAAGGAAGAAACTTTCAGTTTCAGTGAAGGCCATGCACATTTTTGTGGCGTCACTAAGCCTGAAAATAGTCCTGGAAGTCTCATTAGCACCAATTTAATTTATATAACTACTCCTGTACTAGGTTACCGACTTCCTAGTAAAAGATATATCATTAGAAAATACAGGCGGAACAATAGCCTGAGTGATTGGTTTAATTCCGTCATGCTTGATATTCATTAGCATAGAGTTTTACAATGTTAGCCCTCTGCTTTATGTCTCAAATCAATTCCTAATGAAAAATCCCCGATTCTGTAGCCCCAGTCTGCCCCATGTTTATACATCGTTACTCCAACAGTGAAAAATGGCGAAGTATCGGGGGTATTTCCATCTTGGAGACAGTATTTTGTTAACCCGGTAGTCGCGAAAAGGAATTTTTTTGTCATTATATATATGTTTATATTTACTTGTCGTGATTACTAGTCGAAAGACCAATTCAAGATGAATTTTGATTGGCTAAGACAATATAGATTTACATACTGAGTCTATTTTTAACCCTGGGAATACCTTTTGGATTTGTTCAGTATAATATAGGCCTTAATAAGTAATAAATTGTCATAATTCATTAAATTAATGGAACATGCAGGATGGAGAATCCGATAATAAATTTAAATGTTCTCTTTTGGTTCTCAAGTAAGTTAGATTATTTCATTAAATGGGCTATCTTGTCATATTTACTACCTACACATGTTTCAGATACAAAAACTTCATCAGGACAACGCGTTTAGTGTTACCTTTAAAAATTCAGATTTTAGGCTTTTGAGCAAAATTAGCGAGACATTTACAACAAGGGTATTCAATATTAGACTTCAAGACAATCGACTTCAAGGCCTTAATCTATTTCTAAAAATTTCTTAAATGCTGTTGAATGTCAGGTAGCCTTTATCATCTAGCCCTTTTTGTCTTCGTACGGCGAGAGATGTAGACCGGTATATTTTTGGCGTCAGAGAATAAGTGTTAGGCTGAGTAGTTCTCTAAACCAGAACTAGAATATTCACACTGAGCTATCATTAGTTTAAAAATCTGACTATTCCATCCACTTATACTAATTATAAACTGAGTTAAAATTCAACCTGGTTGACACTGATTGGTGACAATTGGTCTAATCGTAATCAGTCGGCACATTCTGAAACCCAAAGTCACAGTTTGTTCGGAAATACTCGTATCTAATGAAAATAATTGGAGACATTTATTGGAGATCTTTATATACATATACACGAGTAAGACAGCGATTGAACAGTAGAGCGAAAAGTGTAGGCTATACGTGATTAGGCCTATGTACTCTACAGCAACCTCTGATGATTCAAATTCTCAATTTCCCGCTTATAGACTGGTATTCCCGAGGGTTAGAAATCTAGATAAAAACCTTTAGTCTCAACATTTCAGTAATCTGCAACCCCTTTCTCCTTTGACCACCAGCTACCTCTAGGCAATACCCCCCTCCCACCTTTCACGACCTCCAGGGCCTCGCATCGGAGATACAACTCTTATTTCTCATTTTTGTCCCACCATTTTCCACGCACGCTACTGCCTGAACCACAGCAGTGGTTTGAATAAAAAAAAGCGACTATGTCGGAGATATACGCTAAATATTTCTTCAATTATTAGTTTCAGCAATAGCTGTCAATTCAAAACGTGTTCCATGTGAAAAAGACGGTGGCATCTTTAAAACTATCGATACCAGCAAATTTCAGTGCTGCAAAGGAAATGTGGAAATTCTTCAAGATCAGAAGGAATGCTGTTACAGTAAGTACAGAATTTCAGTTTAAGAGGCAACAATAAGCTTGGTATTTTGAATATTAAGTTTATTAAGACATTATAGTTTGCCCATTGTTGAAAATTTGAATTCAATCAATTAATTGATTAATAATGATTTAATTTAATAACTGTAATCAAATTAAATGCGAATGCGAATGCGAATGCGAATCCGAATATTCAATTCAATTCAATTCAATTCGATTCGATTCGATTCGATTCGATTCGATTCGATTCGATTCGATTCGATTCGATTCGATTCAACGGCGAATGCCGCGCTTTAAATCTGCGAGCAAAGCGCCATCATTTTTTGTTTACTTTTCAAAAAATATCACGATCTCCTAAGTAATGTTACGCTCTGATAAGCTCTGATACGAATTGGTTACGCTTAGGGGACGAATTATTTCCCGATTTGATCAGGCCTTGTTACGCTTTAAATCACGCTTTGATAAGCTTTATTAAGCTTTGATGCGGTTATGACGCTTTAAATCACGCTCTGATACGATTATCAAGCTCTGTTGTGCATTGTTAAGCTCTGTTACGCATTGGAAAATTTCGAAATGGCCGATTTCATGCCGCTCTTGATCAAGTGGTGACAGACCGTGAAGACTGGGGTCCCCGCTTTGAATAAAGCTCTGTTAAGCTTTCCTACGCTTTGAGTCAAGCTTTGGTGAACTTTGTTACGCTTTGTTAAGCTTTGATACGTTCTCGGCGCTTTAATCAATTCGTGACAGAGCGCCCAAAATTTTTAAACAGTTTAAAAAATTTTGGCGCTCTTGCCGAATATCCAGCTTTGCTCAAAGCTTTCCAACGATCTATTACGACCCTGGCGCTTTAGTCGAGCTTTGTTACGCTTTGGTACCGCTTTGAACGCCGCTTTAAAGCGCCGTCAAAGCGCCGTTGGTGTGAACTGAGCATAAGGGGAGATAAATCAATTAAAACTCATTGTGAATCCAGACCACATTTCGGTATCTTTTTCAGAATCGGGACAATTCTACTTCTCAGATAAAACTTTATGTTGTGATGGAAAACTGATTGACAGAAGCCCAGATCAGTCCATTTCTTGTTGTAAGAATGAAGTTATTAATGATGCCAAGTACATCTGTTGCATGGATCAGAAGATAGAGCTACCTGCAGGTACATTTATCAATCAAATTAGTTATACCACATTCATAAAATGAAATAATGGAATTTGATCAGACAATGAAATACTTATCTAACAAAAACACAAGGGACATACTTAGTGCTTGCAATGCTTGGATAGTCTTTTCAGTCGAATGTCTATGAAAGGATAGACCCATAACTACAAAGTTCTAGATCATCCACACCCCCTCCTACAGAATTTAGATTGTTAGCATTTATCTAAGATAGCCCTTTATTGGTAGTCTTGCTAATTGTCGTCTGCTCAGCAATTTGATGGTTTCTCAGATTGGCCCAGTGTCAACAGTTTTCAAACTCCCTTCAATACGAAATAGAAATATAAATGTTGCAGTTAATCATGCAATTTATTTCGGTTTCAAGGGTTGAATCGTAGAGATGCAGCATGCTGTGCCAATAAAGTTTATAATATTACTCATAAATTTTGCTGTGGAAATGATACACACAACAAACACCCAAAATTGGGCTGCTGTGGTGGACATGACTTTGATAAAGAAACACATTGGTGTGATGGATCTAACATGACTGTACTCATACCTAAACATTTCGTTGAATGTGGAGGCAAGAGAATCTCACTTTTGAACAGTTCATGTTGTGCAGGTAATTTAGGATTTTTTATTTTCTTCAACAGTAGGCTATCTGAATAGACTTAAAATATGATTGTAGATTTGTCAGTTATTGCTTTGGAATCTTGACAATATTTAGGCCTATTGTGTTAAGGTGTTCTAATCTAGGTCATTATGTAATAATTTTTCGACTTTCAATAAGTCAACTCCTCATCATTATTCCAGTCGACCCAGCTGTAAATGATGCAGTTAATCCAGTGAAAGAAAATGCTAAGAGGTTCGGCTAGAGACCAGTTGTTACAAAGGATCTCCGCCCTTTTTTGGTATTAGAATTTCATCCTGGATGACAACCCTTTCCTTATGTTTCATCAATTTACACTTGATAAAACCACAGATTAAACCATGTGTTAATATCTTTTTCAGATGTTCCAAATAATGTTCCTTATTATAGTTCATATTATCATAAAAATGAACGTCTAACATGTTGTGGAGATAAACCAATCGACAGAATTAATGAGAAATGTTGTCCGCTTGGACATGTTATTCAAAGTCATTTAGGCTGTTGTGGAGAAGGTATTTGTTTGACTTCAATGAAAGCTTTGTTTACTGATAGTGGCCATTTGTAAAGTAGGCCTGATTAAGGAAAAAGGGCAACTCTCAAAAGCACTTATTGTGTCATCATAAATATTTGCCTTTGGGAGATTCAAAGTTTTCAAACTGATTAGGCAGCCAATGTTGTCAAGTAGCCAACAGTGCCAGAAGGTTACCTCACTCGACTCACTGTTCGTTTACATCTACAATATTAGCGGTCTAGGTCCAAGGGGAAGTTTTGCAAAAACTATTGAGTAGAACAGCTAAGATTTTGAAGTCAAGCTTCCAAAAAAAGTGAAAACTGAAAATTTTGGGCGCTCAAGAAGATCAGCTAAGTTAATAAAGAAGAGCGGCCATGAGCACTGAATATCATCTAATAGGCCTAAAGCCTAATAGAGCCAAGGAGCTTAAGTAGAAAGGTCAAGTTTATCTAGTTAGTGACCAAAAACTTAAAGTTGAGATGCAGGAATCATTTTTTACACTGAATATTTCTGACCTAATTCTGATATTTTTTTATATGATAGGTTCCTTTAATCCAATGAATGAATTGTGTTGTAATAAGCATGTAGTTCCGAAAGTGGGTCTGGCTGATGCATGTTGTGGTATCAACCCTTACAATCCTGGCATCAAAGGTTGTTGTCATCATACTGTATACAACAAGACAACAGACAAGTGTTGTTTTGGTAAGTTGTTTTGATACAACTTAAAGTTAATTGAAAGTGTAAAAAAGAATGTTACCATGAATTTAGTTGAAGCTAATGTGAAATGTAAACATGTGTTATTATAAATCAAATTAAAGATAACAAGAAAGTGTAAACAAGTGTTGTTATAAATTAAATTAAAGATAACAAGAAGTGTAAACAAGTGTTGTTATAAATTAAATTAAAGATAACAAGAAGTGTAAACAAGTGTAGTTATAAATTAAATTAAAGCTAATGTGAAGTGTAAACAAGTGTTGTTATAAATTAAATTAAAGCTAATGTGAAATGTAAACAATTGAAGTAATAAATTAAATTAAAGCTAACATGAAGTGTAAACAAGTGTAGTTATGAATTGAATTAAAGCTAACATGAAGTGTACATAAAGGGAGTTATTATAAATTGAGTTAAAGCTAACTTAAAGTGTAAATAAGGAGTTGTTATAAATTGAGTTAAAAACTAACATGAAGTGTAAAATAGGGAGTTGTTATTAATTGAGTTAAAAACTAACATGAAGTGTAAAATAGGGAGTTGTTATAAATGAGTTAAAACTAACATGAAATGTAAAAAAGGGAGTTATTATAAATTGAGTTAAAACTAACAGGAAGTGTAAATAAAGGGAGTTATTATAAATTGAGTTAAAACTAACAGGAAGTGTAAATAAAGGGAGTTATTATAAATTGAGTTAAAACTAACAGGAAGAGTTAAAGCTGACATGAAATATAAAATAGGGAGTAATTATAAATTGAGTAAAAACTAACAGAAAGTGTAAATAAAGAGAGTTACTATAAATTGAGTTAAAACTAACATGAAGAGTAAAAAAGGAGTTATTTTAAATTGAGTTAAAACTAACATGAAGTGTAAATAAAGGGAGTTGTTATAAATTGAGTTAAAAACTAACATGAAGTGTAAAAAGGGAGTTTATAAATTGAGTTAAAACTAACATGAATTGTAAATAAAGGGAGTTCTTATAAATTGAGTTAAAAACTAACATGAAGTGTAAAAAATGAGTTATTATAAATTGAGTTAAAACTAACATGAAGTGTAAAAAAGGGAGTTATAAATTAAGTTAAGGCTAATATCCTGTGATTAGTTTTCAAAATGTTTGAGAATTCTATTAAAAGCATTCTTCTATTACAGGTCATGGGGTAGCAAGTCTTCATAAAAAAGAAACTCAATGTTGTGGCCAGAATGAACTACTTCCTGGTTCGGTATGCTGTCAAAACAATTTTGCTGTAAAGAAAGATTCCCCAGAACATAATAAGTGTTGCTCATCGGGACAAACAGGAAACTCATACAACAGTGAAAAGAAGGTCAGTAACAATTTCTAAAATTAGACTTCTAAGTCTAACACTTTTATAAAGAACTTCAGGACAAATTCCCAAACATCTATACTAAACGTTTGGTGACTTCTTACAAAAGGAATAAAAATCTGAGTAAAGTTCTTGTCCATGTTAGATTAGATCCCCTTTCATTAACTCCCTGAAACAATCCCTAAGCATTTCTGAATTATTTGTATATCTTGTAAATCTGTCAAGAAGTAGGTGATTTTCTATCAAATTGATGTATTCCGATGCTGAAATTCACAGTCCCTACTTGTGACCTAGGCCAGTGCTTCTATAAGAGAGTTTCTCTTATAAAAACTTATACCTGCTTACGCTGTTTGAACCAAGAGGTTGGCTACCTGCAGTGGCGGAGCCAGGTTTACGTCCCAGGAGGGGGGGGGGGGGGGCGAGATATCTGAGGTTGCCCGAATTTCTAACTTAGTTGAAATCTGTGCCCGAATTGGCTTTTTTTGGTTGTGTAAAAAAAAGTTCTAAACTCTACTTTCGGGCTGCGATTTCAATTTTTGAAATAATGTAAAATATAATCATACGAATGACATTCGGGCAGTGATTTCGATCATTAAATAATATAAATTATGAAATATTATTATAGGAGAATACAATCGGGCTATCAATTTAAAAAAATATAGTTATAGTATAGGATATTCGGACAAAGATATGATTTCATTTTTAAATTCCAAAAAAAAAAATCGGGCCTTTCAAAAAATCTGGCTCTGCCACTGGCTACCTGCCATTAATTTAAATTTTCATTGGATGGCAGTATATTAGATTTGCTTAATTCTAAGGCACACATCAATAGACATGCAGCAAAGATTCAAAACAAAAGCAAGAGGAGCCTTCTTTATCATTGGTAGTTGTGACAAAAAGGCAAAATAGTCTGTTTTTAAAGGAAAAAAATACATGTACTTATATTGAGTGTGTGTTATATTGAAAGAATACTCTTTCTAGTTGCATGAAATGTCCAGTGGGTATGTTTGTCCACAAACTATTTACCTAGTGTTTTCAATGTTTTCAATATTTGATTTTTAATTTAAGGGATGTTTGCAAGGAGATATATATACTAAAGGAGAAGATGAACCTTGTGGTAGTACTTTAATCAAGACAAAGAATGAAATATGCTGTTGGGGAGCCAGCCACCTGCGAGGAAATGATACTGAATGCTGTGGGGTTAACACCTTTAATAAAAAGAAGGAAATATGCTGTGGGTCTCAAGCATACAATATTGATCAAAATAAAGGAAGGTATGTATAAGATTGGTTAAAGGGCAAATAGGTTTGCAGGATTATAAATACTGTAGAAAATTAAAAAAAACAGCCACAGTAGGTCAATATTTCATATATTAGTGGTATTGATCGCTGATGGTTGAATATTAACAGATGTCAGCCAGCCAGAATTGAAAAAAACAGTTCGTTTATAGTATGTCCTTATAAGACGAAAACTGGTTAATAGAGACTGGAAGCAGCCAAATTAAAATCAGAAGAACATCTCTATAGCTTGGAGAACAAAGGCAATAATTCACTATTCCGAATCTCTGTAATGACCTTCATAAAGCATTATATAAGTGTAATAAGTCCTTAAAATTACACTTCCTCTCAGGATGACCAAAAAATTTAAATTTTGAAATTTGGTTAAAATGAGTCTTTGTTCATCATTGGACTTACCTGGTGTCATAAGAATACAACAAAATCCCTCTATAATCCAATAAAATTAAGTAATAAATCATTAAACGAAGCAATTTTGAAACATGCTAAGAAGCTTGTTTCAATAATTATTTAAGCTAATGGATATATCACCTAATAAGTAATATGGAGATTCTATTCTTTATCCATGGTACCTGGTAAGTCCAACTGATGAATATATACAATTGTTGACCAAGTTTGAGACTGAATCCTTTAAATTAAGCACACACAAAAATTATTTGAAAATTTCATTTTTTAGATGTTGTAAAAACAGATGGTACAAATTTAGTGAATTGCCAGAAAGTTGTCGTTCGACTAAAAAGCCAAGCCTTTATAGAAGTCTGTTGACAAAAATATGTGGTGGCAAGGAATATGAAATTGATGAAGAGGTATGTTGCGAGGGAAAGTTGTATCCAAGACGTGAAGATGAGATGCAAAGTGAGGAGTTATGTCCCCTGCTAACTAAAGCATCAGATATAAATGTCTCATCTGTTACAACCATCAGTGTTATAAGTATTCTTGTCTCAATTTTCTCTCATATTCTCTTTTGATTTATGTTTCTGTGAATTGAAATATCATCTTCAAAATGGTACTGTTTGTTATGTTATAAAGTTTTATTTCTGTTTTTATCAACATCATATCATTCTTAAACTCAGTATTATTTTGAGGATGATTTTTAAATTTGTAGCCTAGGTGAATAGGTGTTTAGGAAAATTGATTTAGTCATGGGAAATTTTCATAGAATGTTTGGACGATTTTCATTCTATGTTTAGCATAGTTTCAATAATTCTTTCATTTGGTTCAATTTTAAAATAATGATTATTCATTAATTCATTATCATTCTGGAAATTTCCATCATTATCAATTACACCCATGAATAAATTTTCTAACATAGAGAAATGGCAATTCATTTACGATTTTAAAATAATTATTATTCAATAATGCATTATCATTCGGCAAATTTCCATCATTATCAATTACACCCATGAATAAATTTTCTAAAATAGAGAAATGGCAATTCATTTATAATTTTTAAATAATTATTATTCAATAATGCATTATCATTCTGGAAATTTCCATCATTATCAATTACACCCATAGATGAATTCCCTAAATTAGACAAATGGCACTTCATAATTTAAATTTTTTTAAATGCCTCCATTTACAGATTAATGATTTCACTCATTATTCATTTATGTGACAATTGCATACATTATGCAAATTCATGATTATAGTATTAACATAATGTTAATATAAATCTTCACATATAAACATAATATTAAAAAATAATGCATGTTTATGATTTTATAATTGATAAATTGAATATTATAATATTATCTTTAGATTTTTACTATCTTTAGACTTGGATAGAATATTATAATATTATCTTTAGATTTTTACTATCTTTAGACTTGGATAGAATGTTATAATATTATCTTTAGATTTTTACTATCTTTAGACTTGGATAGAATGTTATAATATTATCTTTAGATTTTTACTATCTTTAGACTTGGATAGAATGTTATAATATTATCTTTAGATTTTTACTATCTTTAGACTTGGATAGAATATTATATTATCTTTAGATTTTTACTATCTTTAGACTTGGATAGAATATTATATTATCTTTTGAATTCCAAATATTTCATATAAATCATACAAAAATATAATTGCTATCTGACAAAAATTAATTAATCAAAATTTCACAAATAATCTGGTTAAAATGATAAAGAAATTTTTGACAATAGAAGTTATCCAAAAATTCAACATGAAAAACTGAAATGAAAAAATATGTTTATGATCGAGATTCTGACTAAGGACATTGTGAAACCAACATGTTTTCATGGGATTTCTGAATTCATAGCACTTAGCAACTATAACAGACTGTTGCTTAAATAAGACATTCTTATAGAAAATAAGAAACTACAAATTTTGGCAAAACATTAATTATGATTTATATGAAATATTTAATGCTCATCTCCATTATGAAATTCATGTACTCTTTTTAAATGCATCAGTATTTTAACATTACTTAAACGCGAAGCTAGATTCTTAAAGGGATTGCAATGAGGATTTCTAAACTTTTTATGCATATTGAGAACACTGATAGTATTGATATGCATATGATTTTACATAGTGATGTCATCAGATTGAAAATTAGAATGGTGCCAATTGATGCTCATAAAAAGTTCCCTCTTTACATTCTCTGTAAGAATCCAGTGTTTATTACCTATTTCAGTAACGGAATACAAGAATGTAACTCATGATGAGTTTACAAGGCTGCACCCATTTGATTTTTTCTTTTCCTGTATAAATTTTTGATTTGAACATCTGTTTTTTTTTTTTTCAATTTTAACAAGTTTTCATAGGTAAAATGTAAAATTTGATAGATATTTTCTATGAAGAAGCAAAGCTTTTCACTCCTGCTTAAAGAATACATCTTGGGATCACCAAAATTTTAATTTTTTAACATGGCTATATTCATAAAGGCATTCTGTTGTATAGTTATGATACCAGGCAAGTCCATTTATGAATATATACTATTATTAGCCAAATTTGAGACTTTTATGTTTTCCTTAAAAAAATGGTTTTTTGTTCCAATATATTTAATTTTTTAGAATGTCCATTTGCTATAATGATTCCATTAAAAGGATCGAATTGGTGTAGCCTCGACCATGTATATATATATTATGTAGCATGATGTTTCAATATAGAAGCACTAATGATTTATCCCGGTTACTTTTTATGTTTTCCTGGTTACTTAATAGGTTATTCTAGTTACTTAATAGTTTATGCTGGTTATTAAATAGTTTATTCTGTTTAAAATTAATAGTTTATTCTGGTTACTAAATAGTTTATTCTGTTTAAAATTAATAGTTTATTCTGGTTACTAAATAGTTTATTCTGTTTAAAATTACTAGTTTATTCTGTTTAAAATTAATAGTTTATTCTGGTTACTAAATAGTTTATTCTGTTTAAAATTACTAGTTTATTCTGTTTAAAATTAATAGTTTATTCTGGTTACTAAATAGTTTATTCTGTTTAAAATTACTAGTTTATTCTGTTTAAAATTAATAATTTATTCTGTTTAAAATTAATAGTTTATTCTGGTTACTAAATAGTTTATTCTGTTTAAAATTACTAGTTTATTCTGTTTAAAATTAATAGTTTATTCTGGTTACTAAATAGTTTATTCTGTTTAAAATTAATAGTTTATTCTGTTTAAAATTAATAGTTTATTCTGGTTACTTCTGGTCCACAATATTCTGAGGTGCCTCTTTCTAAGAGCTTTGAGATGACCGAGTATAATGACAATTTTATACGCTGGCTTTCATGCCTCAAATGTTTTAACTTAAAGCATAATAATTTTTTATTTACCTCACTGTGCACAATGGCACTTTAAAGAACAAAGAATAAGACGATGGATGTGGTTAAATATGTCCTATAATATTATATGTAAGACAGCCTAACTTTCTTAGAACTTAACACACACAACCGTCATGTGATTGTGAATTTTTAAGTGACCTTTGCCCCATACAATCACCAGTTGCGTATGGTTGCGAATGAGAATAGCTGTCATTAGTGTCAAACGCAACTTTCATGCTACTGAGTTTTGAGTTGTGTTCGGAACTTATGGCCACTTTCATTATTCGCAACCATACACAACTGGTAATCACTGAGGTTTGAGAGCACCTTTAGCAATTAAGCTAGCCACCTTATAGAAAATTTAGCCAATTCTGATTGGATGAAAAGTGGGTTAGGTTCTAAGATGTTCTTAAAGGCAATGATTGTGATGTAAATATATTTTACCTTTTAGATTTTTTGTATATAAATAAAATATATTTAACCCAATTTGAATATAGTATTTGATACAACTTATCAGTTGATCCCTTGTAAGTTACCTTGCTGAGTCCATGAATTTTCTAATGCACAAGATCCTATGCCACTGTTGTAGTTTGATTGGGCCAGTGGGAATATAGGCCGCCCTAGAAAAATGGTTTGCACCCCCAGTTGTAACCCCACTTTAACAAATTTAAAAAATAGGATTTTTATGCATTTTTGCAACAAGACGCCTCCATAGAGTTGCCGCATTTTGAGTTCTTCCCCCATTGAGTCAATCTGCCATGTTATTTGTACCCCCAGTCTCGGGAGGCATACGCTACCACTGGGTTGTTGGGTTTTCAGCCATGTGTCCTGTACATGATTGGGTTGCATATATAACCTACATGAAATGATCACATAACATGATAAGGCCATGTGCCTTTCTGGTTGGGACTCTTTGTCAAAATAGCATTTGGAACATGAGATGTTGTGTTTTCAACAATAGAATAACAAGAATGATAACTCATAAAAAAAAACAGTTATTTAACTACAATTCAGTATCACTCAGTATTTAACCAGTTTGAAGTACACAAACTGGTTCACTGTCATTAATCAAGGATGCACTCTTTAAGAATTACATAGACTTGTTCACTGTTATCATTATTCAAGGATTTCTCTCTCTAAGTACACAAACTGGTTCACTATTGTCATTAATCGAGGATGCACCATTAAGAAGTACATAGACTAGTTCACTATTTTCATTAATCAAGGATGCACTCTTTAAGAAGTACACACACTGATTCACTGTCATTATTATTCAAGGATGCACTCTTTAAGAAGTACATAGACTGGTTCTGACTGTTATCATTAATCAAGGATGCACTCTTTAAAAAGTACATAGACTGGTTCACTGTTATCATTATCAAGAATGCACTCTTTAAGAAGTACATAGACTGGTTCACTGTTATCATTATCAAGAATGCACTCTTTAAGAAGTACATAGACTGGTTCACTGTTATCATTATCAAGAATGCACTCTTTAAGAAGTACATAGACTGGTTCACTGTTATCATTATCAAGAATGCACTCTTTAAGAAGTACACACTTCCAATTGAATCTTATCATTCTTGAACCTTTACATAGGAGTTTCTTTTTAAATAACTTCTTCATTCTTAATACCAACTGGTTCATTGAGAGTCAATCCTTGTGTTCTTTTCATCTTAACTAAAACCCTCTGATATCAAAAATTGTTTCCATAATGAGTACTGATAATCTGGTAAATTTGGTAAAGACTGAAAAATATTATTTCAAATAGGAGTAGTAACAGGGTAGTCAAAAATAAGAAATATTTGTTTAAATTATAATAAAGTTTTCATCCTACACTGAAAGCGAGGTTCATAACGCAAATTATGTCATCCATTAATAAGTTGGCAACTATTGACGTCGCTGAACACCCAAATCAACAGCGAGAAAATGGGCTCAAAACTGGTATTTCTCAGAAATGTGTGATGGTAAACTTTATCTGAAAGTATCATTAAAAAGCTTAACCAACTCCGATTTCAATGATGTCAAATATGATAAGTTTTGAGTTACTAGGACTGGAGAAGGAGGCTTTAAAGACATCAAGGTAGTGATTTTACTGCAGTGACATGCTGTTACCTTTGTTTGTTTGCATTATAAGCCTCGTTCTGGATTCAATATGGCCGACACATGAATAAGGTAAAAAAATGTAATCATTATTTGGATCAACTAAATCTGGACCAGTGAACACTCAGTGTCCCAGACGATTCCTTAAAACAGTTCCATTATGCATCACCTTACCTCACTGCTAATTTGACTTCAATTATCCAAAACTATGGAATTCTTTAAGAAAAATCTTAAAATTTAACTTAAAACTCGAAAACAACAATTCTCAAAACTTTGGCAGCGCACTATGAACCACTGTACTTGTGCACTGAAATTTTGATGTAATGTAGAGGTTATGTAATGAAATGGTTTGTGTGTCTTCCTAGCTATATTGTACATTTCTATGTCATAAAACAAAATAAATACCTTGTACAGATTTAGAAACTCTTCTGCCTTTAAATCCTGAAATCTCTGCATCATATCAAAACCGGCATTTATCAAATATATTCCACAGTTAGGAAAAAATTCCCTGCAATAACAAATTTACCACACATATATTAAACCTAGAGATATTGAATAAAAAGCCTGGACACATTTACTGTGCAATGTCTTGCAAGTAAGAGATAACTGTCTATCAATTGACAACATAACATCTTCACTTTCAGCTATTAGGAATACGTACTTCCTTGTCTGTGATAGTCACCTTTCTGATATCACAAAAATTTGTGAATGCAACTATTGGATTGGATTGTCCGCTAGCGATTACAGCCAATCATACACAGCTTCGGAATACATGAGCAGCCAAATTGTTTACAGTCTTTTTGTTGGCTGTGACAAAACGGATTCTACATGACAAGTTTTGATTGGTTCAAAATAACCTTAATAAATAATAACTTACTCCATGCGTGGAATTATTCGTTTATCGGGGTTGCGTAACATCTGTTTGGCAAAGAGACGGTAAACTTCTATATCTTGAGAACTCAGAATTTGATCGGAGTTTGGTTTTGGTGTTAATTTGATTAAATATGTCTTATCTCCCTGAAAATATAATCAAAAAAGGGTATTTTAAGAAAAGTGACATGTTTCATTAAAGCTGTCTCCATATTTGCTATGCAATTGATGTAACTCTTCTGTCAAATATTTGTATCACTTATCAGAATGAAAAATCGTGCATATTGTTTGATTAATTGATATTTCTAATAAAAAATTCAAGTATTCTTCGGTTTGAAGATTGAGTTAGGAGGTAGAAAAGCTTTGGGGATCAGATAGACTGAACCTTATTGAGAAAGCTGACTAAAATAGATCATTAGTTAAACTACACTGTAGATTTGCATTTTTCGTTTAGTGCATTGGAATGATATAATTTGTTTGGTTACATCAAGAGATGGAGGTTGTGGGTTCTCATTTCGGTTAGTATATAAGTCATGTAACCTTGAATAAACCATCTTTCTCATTATTTCAGTCAACATTAGCACTTTTTTTTTTACTTCCCTTTTTGTGTGTAATAATGAGCAAATATGACAGGTTTGGTGCCAGGAAGGGTATGCTTACTCTTCTAGACACCTGATACCACTTTTTAAAATAAATTACTTCTTCATTTATAATTGATATACTTTCTTATATGAATTGTTCATTTGCTGCTACCAATGAAGATAATTCATCAGTCTAATTAAAATTAGACCAAATTTTTGTTTTGTTTTTTATTGGTTTTTTTCTGTTGATATAGCCACTTCAGTTGGAATCTAACCACAGCCCTCTTGTCAAATTAACCTTTTGACCTAACTCAATGATGTCTGCTTTAACCAGTCAAATTTCAACCCTCTTGTAGCAGTGTTTTTCAGGTCAGGTCAAAAGGTTAACTTGATGAACCTTCAAGAGGGCAGATGTTAGACTCTAACTGAAATGGCTATATTAAAAATAAAAGCTAATAAAAAAAACTGATCAAAAGTTTGGTCGAATTCTAATTAGACTGAAGAATATATTTGAAAATCTAGGAGAAATATAACATATTCTTACTGATGATGATGATGTCTTGGAAAATTTTGGATAAACAGAATCAAACTCTAACTATAAAAGATTAAAACATAATATCTAATTAAACAAACTGGTCTGTTACACAGAGTTGGAAAAATGTCTTTTTGTAATTTTTTCTCAGTCTGTAGTGAGTTGGATTGTTGTCTGCTAAGTAATTAGGTGCTGTGGGTTTGAATCATCCTCGAGGTAAGAAAATTCTAATGTCAAGATGACAAGTGCTTCTAAAAGTCACCCGCTGTAATGTAAGGCTAGTTTCTGAGACATCTATATAGACATGATATTGATTGAGTCTTGAATAAATGTAAATACTCTTCAGAAGTACTAAAACTGTACATAATTCTTTCAAAAATACCTTAAACTAGGAATTTCATTTTCTATATACATATGTGTATATGCCTTATCTATAAATGGCAGAGTCTCAAAAAAGACGAGTTGTCATTTTAACTTTCAAACACGAATAATTCTGGACACACATTGATTTGAAGGCTCAAATTTCAATGGTGAGGTGTGAACACTATTACTGATTGGCATAGCTAAAAATTCCTGTTTCTGAAACTAAGGTACGCTTGGTTAAACTATCCCTTTAAAACAGTCTCGTTGTGCTCAAATTAAGGGGTAATAACTCACAGGCTGTTCATCAAAAAATCATCAAATTTGAACTTGTCCAAGATATCATCCAAGTTTCATCTATTAGTACACTCTTTGGGGCTCACAAGAAAAGTTAACTGACTGCTAGGCCCTGGGGGTAATGACAACACAGGGCTTTCAATCTGGGTATATAAAAATCAAAATCTATTAACCTCCATTAATGTCTTCAACTCCATAAATAATTCTATTTCAAATTTCAGTTTTAGAGAATAAGTACTCTTTTTAAAATTCAGTCTCTGAAAACATACAAATAATCATATCTATAAATATTAAAACCAGAACCAGAAAGTCTTTTCTTTTATGATATGCAATCTTCACAAGTAATAATTAGATTAGATCTTAAGTAAAATTATTGTGGTAAAGAAATGGGCGGTGGAAGTGAGCTATCTGTCAGTCAAAATGTCATGTGATTCAGAAATTCTTAATTACTCAATATACAGCCAATGCTGATTGGATGAAAAAGTGGATTAGGTTCTGATTAAGTTTCAGTGTATTACTGACATTTGACAATCAGCAGATTGTTACTCTAATCAATCTAGATTTTGATTCGAATTCCATAAAATTTGGCAGCAATTGATAAAGTACTAGTTGTGGACTAAAGGTTATCTTACCAATGATGTCTCTCATGATACTAATTAAGTAAGTTATAATTAATAACAATATTACAGGAAAATACTAATATCAACTGGCAGTCGAGCAAGTCAGTAGGATAATACTGCTGTTCAAAATTTCCAACATTTCACAATGCATAGTGTTGCCTTCCATCATTGACTGAGATAAATGCTTAAAGTGATTGTAAAGAGGTTTTCTAAATTTTTTATGTGTATCAGGGTCACTGATATCATCGATTTGTACCATTCCATCATTGACTGAGATAAATGCTTAAAATGATTGTAAAGAGGTTTTCTAAATTTTTTATGTGTATCAGGGTCACTGATATCATCGATTTGTACCATTCCATCATTGACTGAGATAAATGCTTAAAGTGATTGTAAAGAGGTTTTCTAAATTTTTTATGTGTATCAGGGTCACTGATATCATCGATTTGTACCATTCCATTATTGACTGAGATAAATGCTTAAAATGATTGTAAAGAGGTTTTCTAAATTTTTTATGTGTATCAGGGTCACTGATATCATCGATTTGTACCATTCCATCATTGACTGAGATAAATGCTTAAAATGATTGTAAAGAGGTTTTCTAAATTTTTTATGTGTATCAGGGTCACTGATATCATCGATTTGTACCATTCCATCATTGACTGAGATAAATGCTTAAAATGATTGTAAAGAGGTTTTCTAAATTTTTTATGTGTATCAGGGTCACTGATATCATCGATTTGTACCATTCCATCATTGACTGAGATAAATGCTTAAAATGATTGTAAAGAGGTTTTCTAAATTTTTCATGTGTATCAGGGTCACTGATATCATCGATTTGTACCATTCCATCATTGACTGAGATAAATGCTTAAAATGATTGTAAAGAGGTTTTCTAAATTTTTCATGTGTATTGGGGACACTGATATCATCGATTTGTACTATTCCAAATTTTCAATCCAACATTGGTTCTTGCAATTCCACTAAAACTAATTGTCTGATGATGTCACTAATTGCGAAGACCTTATGTGATAAAGAATATTTTGCAATAGTGATGACATAAAACACTTAGTTTTAGTAGAATTGCATTTAGAATCCCTTTAATATTAACTTGGCCACATACCCTGAGAAATCTGTCAGGAACCATGGCAAACCAATTTAATCTTCCGTGGCTAAATATTCCTTCCATTGCCATGGCAGAATGGGTTATGGTTTTAGCAAACAATCGGTCAAGATGTGGAGGAACGATGAAAAAAATATTTGCTGCAATATCTGAAAATAAGATCCTAACATAAGATTTGGAGAATTTGAATGCTAAACTTAAGGTTGATCTTGAAGGAATACTACCTCTTGGAATGGACATAAAATTTAAAGTCTCAAACTTGATCAATAAGAATATATATTCATCAGTTGCTGTGAGTAAAGACAATATATATATTTTACACTACATAATTATAGCATTTTGCGATTAAGGACGTCATCAATATCTTATTGTCACAGTAATACAGCGACAAGGTATTATTGTCACAGTAATACAGGGACAAGCTATTATTGTCACAGTAATACAGGCACAAGGTATTATTGTCACAGTAATACAGGCACAAGGTATTTTGGTCACAGTAATACAGGGACAAGCTATTATTGTCACAGTTATACAGGCACAAGGTATTATTGTCACAGTTATACAGGCACAAGGTATTATTGTCACAGTAATACAGGCACAAGGTATTTTGGTCACAGTAATACAGGCACAAGGTATTATTGTCACAGTAATACAGGGACAAGGTATTATTGTCACAGTAATACAGGCACAAGGTATTATGGTCACAGTAATACAGGGACAAGCTATTATTGTCACAGTAATACAGGCACAAGGTATTATGGTCACAGTAATACAGGGACAATGTATTATTGTCACAGTAATACAGGCACAAGGTATTATTGTCACAGTAATACAGGCACAAGGTATTATTGTCACAGTAATACAACAAAGATGGCTATCAAGGTATCAGATGCAGTTCCTAAATTCTATTGTACCACATCATATAGTGTACTGTTTCCCTTTACTAGTTGTTAGTAAGTATATAACATGAGCTACCTGCAGAACTTTGAGCTTTTGGTACCAAATTCAAAACATCTGGTGGTCTTAAATACAAGAAACTTCTCGGTGATTCAAATAAAAAATAATCAGTTTTGTTTTCTGCAAATTCAATATTCTTGTAGGTCTCTTGCAACTTCTGAAATAAAATTTGAAATGGGTAATTAAATCAATCTTTTCTGCTCCTACTTTGGCAAAGCCCTACAGTATGCAATGAGGGAAATTTAGCCAGGACTGTGGAATTACAATATTTCTTTGTTTTAGTTCGAACACTTAAGGGGATCTTTAACATACATAACTTCTAGTACACAAGGCCACTATTTTTTGCCCCTACAATAAAACAACTAGATAATTAGAAAAATCTGTCCTCAAAATGATAACACTGATAGATAAAATAAAAATTCTAAGGGTAACACAACCCATGTCCTCCCAGTCCCACTATGTAACTATGTCAAAATTCACACTGTCAAATCTTGTTTTAAATCCTACCCAGGGGCATGATTAACCAGACCCTCAATTTGCTCTTTTATAGGAGCAGAGTAAAGCGCTCCCAGATTTATAAATCCACTGAAAAATGTAATTATGATTTTTCATTTTTTGTTTTTTAGTTTGGTTGGCTGAATGATGTATAATTTAAAATTCATTTCTATTTGAGTATTAATGGGTGAAGTCAACATCTGGACAATTCTCGGAAGGACCGGCACAGGAATCAAGATTAGAATTGGGAGGAAAAGAAAGAAAACATACCTGTAATGTGGATAAATAGACTTGCTTGTTTTCTACCAAAATTAATTTGTTGTACAACTTGGCTAATTCTGCAGACATCACACCAATACCTTCAATAAAAAGAAAATGATTGTTGTGCCGATTAGAGATAAGTTGTGCAGATTTGAAATAAAGTTGTGCAGGGTAGAAGACTGAAGTGTGGTGAATTTTCAAATGGCTTTGGATGTAAAACTCCATTTCATCTGATGAACTTACCAGGATTTACTTCTAGCATGGTATCAACATTGTCACTTTCTTTTTTGATGGTACTTGCTATCTGAGCTGAAATAAGAAATAACAGTACTTATTTAATTTAGTAATCTATTACCCAATAAGTAGGTAGTTAGGGCTGACATTGAAACACTGCACCACAGTGTATCATCACATCTGAATGACTAGGCACTTCTTCCATGTCAGCACCTCTACCTTTATCAATGACAAGGTGAACACAAATTGAAAAATTTGAAGGTATTATCTGGACCCATGCCTGGATTGAACTCTGGAATTTCAGGCTAGTACTAGCACATTTCAGCACCAAACCTGCAAAGAGGATCCTGTTAATAAAAGTAATGTTATAACTTACCAGCTACATCTGGATCATGCACATAATGATATCCCTTAAATCGCTTCAAATTTTTCATAAAATAAATATTTTCAGTACTAGATCTAGAGGCATACGGAGAGCAGTAAAGTGAAAAACAGCACTTCCCTTCTCTAATCAGTTTTCTTGTCAAGCCACTTTTTGCCAACATCTTTCAATCTTTTTCCTACTGAAAAACATAAGAATTAAAATGGTAGACTAATTCAAAACTATCTACACATGCCACAAGTGGCATTGGCATTTAACAATTTAAGCATGGGATGGGTAAAATGTGGCTTATTAATGATACCTTTAAAGTGGCAAATCAAGTATCAGACACACTGTCAACCTCTAAATTTCAGACACGAGGGCAAAGGTAAGATCAAAGTTAATATATCTGAAGCACAAGTTTTGATCTCACTAGCATAAAGGCACAATAGACTTTAATTTAAATTTAAAGTTTGTTCGCAACCATTTTGGGTGTGACTATGTCTTCACAGAAACCATATTTTACCCCCCAAAAAAACCCCAAACAATGGGCCTATTTTTAATAGAACAATCTACAAAACTGTGAGTCAAACATATAAAATTTGAATGTCTTATTCACGTTAATTGATTCTATCAAATGAGAGTTTTACGCAATCAAATGTTGTATTTTGCGTTTTTATCGATGTTCGAGTTTTGTGGTGTTTAGTCATTCCCAAAAATAATTTACAATGGAAGCTGCCATTTTGACAGTCATGTGACAAAGTATTATGTGTTAATAGTTCTAAATAGCAAAATAATTATATGATATATTAGTTTGAGATTAAAAACGCACATCATTATTTGCATACAACAAATTCATAATTTAAAAAAGAAAAGAAAAGTAGGCTAAATCTAAATTTAGCTCATCCAAGTAAGTAGATCAACTTCCGGTATGAAATCAATGGCGCGGTATACCGTGTGTTGAATGTTTTCTAAACCAGCTCTTAATAACATCAAAACAACCTTCTCATACTAACAAATTTGAGGTTTGTGCTGCGAATGTATTTTATTTATCTGAGTCATTTTTGTACTACCCACTACTAGGCCTAGTGCAGGTTTTATCAATCTTAACTCAACTGGGACTGGTTTACAAAAATGTTTTGATTTTTTATGGACAAATTACTACAACTAGCCTAACTAGGAAAGGGTTATGATTTTACTTAAGGTTAGATGCATTCATTTGTCAATCCATATCTATGTGATCTTACTGTGTTTAAATTGTTTGAGAGAGATATGAACCCTAACAAATTTGATACAATTACAAGCTGAGTGTAGTTTTGCACTTTTACCACTTCACTAGGTAGGTCATAAGTAGGCTGCTTTCAAGGCTTCGTTAAACAGGTGTTGGAAAATTGCGATACGAGCTTGACAGTTTCATGATGTAAAATTAAATATTGATCACACCCATATGACCTTGCGATGTCGCAAAGAGCAAATCATTGCGTGAAAAGCAGAGTCAGTCATTGAACAAAGAGATATCTTGGCCAGTAGAGGGCGCTGTAGTAGAAATCATGTCGTGCTATAAATAGACGAGTCATGTGACCTGTAGTGAAACATGATGTTACAAGTATGAAATTATTAAATTCAAATCTGGGCAGAAATGGATGTGGATGTCCACAGATGTGATGTGTTTTATCGTATGTACGGAATTAACCCTAGCAACATGCTTATATTACGTCACACTTTTATATTTCAGGTGATGACCTGTTTAATCGTTCATATCTGAAATGGATCACAGTTATGCTGGTCCAGAAAGTTCAGATGTGAAAAATTCGGTAGACGGTCCACCAGATACAGATCATAATTATTTTGGTGCAAAAGTTAAATTAGAAAAAGACGCAGATGAGATGTCGGAAGACAGTGAAATTTTCAGCGATAACCTGACAGCCAAACAGAAAGTTGTGGATCAGAATCAAAACTCTGCTGTCCAAAGCGACCAAGAAATGGAAACTGATGAAACCAAGACACTTGAGTCAAGTGACGTCAAAGATGGTGATGAAGCTAAAGATGATTCTGGGGATGAAACAGGGTTAATTATGGATGTTGATGATAATAGTTGTGATAAAACTAATAGTGGTGCTGTAGCTGAGGATGAAGGGGGTGGAAAATCATCTCAGGCAGAAAGCTCTCAGATTGACAGCTCACAAGCTGAAAGTTCTCAGATTGACAGTTCCCAGAATACCAACAATAATAACTCTAGTGTCCATGGTGATGAAGAAGATGGTCTAGAATCTCTTATGAGTAACAGTAATTATTGGTTTGGTTTTTTTTTTTGTTCAAGAGATCTTAATTACAATTGTTTGAAGGTTTCTGAAAATTGTCTTTACCAGACATGCTTTAATGTGAAAAAAATTATTCAGATCGAGCGGCTGGAATCATTTTTTTTTTTTGATACTTAGCGATACTACAGGAATTTCATGACTTTCTTTATTTATCTTGCAGTTTCTGAATACACAAAAGATCTTGATATGAACTTGTTACTCCGCCCCTTTAAAGAAGGTATGTTTTCTTTAATATTTTTATTGATGCTTGGGTGCTGAAGTTTAGCGTGCTTGTGAGTTGACGCTTGCTCCAAAATGTAATTCAAGTCGCAATATTCAGTTACATTATGTTATTTTATTTATGAGAGAGAACAAAATGATAGCATTGAAAAAAAAGTTTAAAGTTTGACATGGAGCCATTTGGATTGATGTGCCAAGTTGATTTTAACTATCTGATTTACTCCTGGAAATGCTGCATTTGTTCCTTTAAGAATTCTGATTTGATCAAACTGTATTCTAATGTTTTGCTACAGAACCGGTACTACAATAAATGTAATACTAGGGTGAAATATTTCATGCTTGCTTTCTATTAAAAATCTAAATGTAAACAAAACTGTCAGTGGGCATTTTTGTGTTTTATTTGGTAATATCAATCTTTTTTATGGAATAGGTTGGAAAAGAGAAGTTGTGCAAAGAAATGTATTTGAGAAATATTCAGCTAGTGGTAGAAAGAAGAGTAAACCAGTTGATATTTATTATTTTACACCAGAGGGAAGAAAATTGGTGAGTTTTAACTTTAGTTGCTATTGTAAACAATTTTATGCAGATGCAAAATGTTGTGGTGTTAAAGGAAGAGATGTGCCATTCTTTTAACCAATCATATCTTAGTCTCAGAAACAGGATTTTTTTTTAGTTAAGCCAATCAGTAATAGTGTTCACAGCTCACCAAGTGTGTCCAGAATTATCTGTGTTTGAAAGTTTAAAAGACGAGTTGTCTTTTCTTGAGACACTGCCATAATTGAATTTGAATTACTGGTTTGAATGAGGTTACTTTGCTTTCCTTCAAATTGGTCTACAGGTTTGAAAGTATGTTTAAAGGTATTCTATCTCTTAAAACGAACATGAAATTTAAATTCTCAAAATACGAGAATATTCAGTGGACCTACTTGGTGTCATACTATACAACAGAATCCCTCTTTAATCAGATAAATTAAAAACTGAATCAAAAACTCTTAAAAATATATTTATCTATATTTCAATTAGTTGAGGGATCTTGTGTTCAAAAGGTTTCAAAACCTTTGTCATATTTTCTACAGGAAATTGTATCTATTTGGTGATATCTAAAAAAATTATCATTTCAGAGGTCAATGATACAGATAAATGATTATTGTAAGTCTTAATCTCTTATAGTTTTAAATTTAACATGGCAGTCTATGGCCAGAGATGGAAAAATATATAATAAAAAGGGATTGCCCGTTTATCATTTAGCAAGTTTTCTCAGTCCACGGCAAATATCATGAGTTTAACGATTGCAAATGTCATAAACCCTTGTATGAAATCCTTTTCCATAGACTGCCATATCAAATTAACATTGCTTACCGCGTATGGAATTAGCACTAGCACGTTATAGTTCTAAACTGGCTTATTACCAAGAAACATATTGAAAAGTTCTATGATGCAGACATTCATTTGAATATTTGCTTGACATTCGCAAGCAGTGGTAAATGATATACAGAATTTATGTTTTTTTTGTCATGACCCACAACCTTCATGACCTTACAACCTTACATTTCCAAATGAATGAAAATTTTTTTGTAGTAAATAAATCTTCATCAGTCAAGTTGCCAGCTACATGTTTCTGTTTCATGAGAAAACCTATTTATAGAGAACCATTCGAGATAGTGAGATCAGCTGGAAAGTCACGAAGAAGTTATGACAGTCCAGCTAGTGTCAGTCCAATAAAGAGAGGACGTCCTGGCAAAGGAAATAAAATGAGTCCAAAACCAACACTTAAACCTAATAAGACTAAATCATCTATACCAGAACCAGAAGTGGTTATTGAAAGAGATGAGGATGAGTTTAGTATGACGCCATATTTGAATATGGCTATTGAAGCAGCAGCTAGTAGAAAGCGTTCTCTCGATGACGTTACTACCCCAGCTCCACCTGTTAAAAAGAAGGCGACAGCTAGAAAGAGTACCACTCCACGACCACCAAGTCTTCAACCAAAAACAGCTGTTACATTACCGTAAGTACTGTCAATAACCTTAGGGTAGGGTTGTTGATTCATTTGGGCTCAATATGCGAACATAAAATTCCATTCATTTCATTTCAATTTTGTGGGTCATCGTGAAGCCTACCTAATTTTGTATCACAAAATACTCTGGAAAATATCATTTCTAGAATTATCTTCTCAAAATATCTTTGATATTGAGATTTGAGTTGACTTATTCTGATATCTTTATTATTTATTTCACTGAGGCCATCTTATGAAATAAATATCCAAAAGGAATGGATTAGCCATTCTTTTTGACCAATCATTCCTTTAGTCTCAGAAATGGTAAATTTTTAGCTAAGCCAATCAGTAATAGTGTTCACAGCTCACTGTTGGGTCTTCAAATCCATGTGTGTCCAGAATTATTCGCATTTGAATGTTACAATGATGACTCGTCAATTTAAGATATATAGAAAAGACCTTTATAGAAATAGTTCATAATAATCCTAGTTTGAGATATTTCTCGTAATTCTGAAGACTATTTACATATTTCCACGTCTCAAATCAACCCCCAAAATGGCGCATCTGCCCTTTTAAGAGAGCCAGTGTTAGTTGTCTGAAGCCCAGTTATCAACAGAAATTAGGGCGAGTACCTAAACTTTTTTTTTCATATGTTATATTCCAGTGCCCATCTAGAAAGATCTGAAGGTCAACTATGTACTATTAACTGTCCTGGACTAGAGGGTCAGCCCCCAGAGTTGACCTGTAGTCAATGTATGTGTTTATTTCATCCTAAATGTGTCAATGCTGAAAGTGATGTGACATCAGCTAATTTTAAATGTCATGTAAGTTTCTAGAAGGTATTTTTTCTTCTGTCAGGTCCTATTACTTTACTGTGATAAAAGTTCTGTGAGATGTTTGATCATCGATTATCAAATTTTATGATCGATAATGATGATTAAAATCTTAGCCATGATATTCGGTTATTTCAATTATTTTACCAAGCCCAACATGCAGCTTAGAAAATAAATATTTTCTGATAAAAAAAAGGTAATGAATGTTTTTTTTTATTTCCTTCAGAGATGCAGATTGCTTCCCAATGGTACCTGCAACAGTATACCAGTTGCTTCCAATAAAACAACATCATATACCATGGTATTTCCGAAACCGCCCACTCCTAAACTTAGTCAAACTATGAATTCCACATTACGCACCTATTTAGATAGTAAATCACCCCAAATGACTCAAAGTACCGGTAATTCTATTTTACCGTTAGAAATTCCCCCCCTTCCACCATTAAAAATGGCCACTTCTTCCATGATACCTAGAAGTACATTACCATTGTTAAAACCTTCTCCTGGCATATCTTTGGTGCCTCCTAAGTTAATAGCAGCTCCAGGAACTATTCCTATGAGAACAATAGCGCCGCACGGTGTTATTTCTCCTCCAAAGCCTCAACTAGGCCTCACCCCACAAACTCCAGTCATTGTGCAGAAACCATCAAAGGAGACGCCAGTGAATGCTCAGTTATTAACGTTACCCACAGCAGTGACCAAACGCTTGAATCTCAACCAACCTTTAGCTTTAAAGATCAACAATGTACATATAGTAGTGCCTCCCAACTGTGTGATAAATTCAAAGGAAGGACTTAAAGTTGTGTTGCCCCCAAATACATTTGGTCTACCTACAGACCCTCAAACGAAATTGAACGTGACTGTTTCGAACAATAGTGGAGGTGTGGAAGGGTTTAAGCCAGTTTCAGACACTTCTTCAAGTGATAGTGCAAGTGTTAGCGTTAATGGTAGTGCAAATAGTGTGAATGGTAGTGCAAATAGTGTTAATACTGTGACAAGTGTTTCTGGTGATAATAAAAATAGTGTTAATGATATATCTAGTGAAGTCAGTGTTAATAAAATGAAACTAAGTAATAAAAGGAAGTGTGTGGAAGGGATTAATCCTGCTAGTTGTTATATTAAGAGTTTATATGGTGGTTATGATTGTATGTTATTAATATTTAGATATCTTTCTACTCGCGATTTATTACGGTAAGAGATTTTACTTTCAGTTTACTTTCTCAACTTATAAAATCTTGTGTTGAACTGATCTAAATGATTTTATTGTTGTTCAGTATTTTACTATAAATCTTCAGTACTGGTATTCTGTATTTTGCTGTAAATAGTCAGTATCATTCAGTATTTTGCTGTAAATGGTCAGTATCATTCAGTCTTTCACTGTAAATGTTCAGTATCATTCAGTATTTTGCTGTAAATGTTCAGTATCGTTCAGTATTTTAATGTAAATGTTCAGTATCATTCATTATTTTGCTGTAAATGGTCAGTATCTTTCAGTATTTTGCTGTAAATGGTCAGTATCATTCAGTCTTTCACTGTAAATGTTCAGTATCATTCAGTAATTTGCTGTAAATGTTCAGTATCGTTCAGTATTTTAATGTAAATGTTCAGTATCATTCATTATTTTGCTGTAAATGGTCAGTATCTTTCAGTATTTTGCTGTAAATGGTCAGTATCATTCAGTCTTTCACTGTAAATGTTCAGTATCATTCAGTATTTTGCTGTAAATGTTCAGTATCGTTCAGTATTTTAATGTAAATGTTCAGTATCATTCATTATTTTGCTGTAAATGGTCAGTATTTTGCTGTAAATGGTCAGTATCATTCAGTCTTTCACTGTAAATGTTCAGTATCATTCAGTATTTTGCTGTGAATGTCAGTATTTTGCTGTAAATGGTCAGTATCATTCAGTCTTTCACTGTAAATGTTCAGTATCATTCAGTATTTTGCTGTGAATGGTCAGTATATTTCTTATGATTTCATAGGCCAAGTGATTCATATTTTTATCATCATTTTTCAGTGTTGGTCAAGTTTGTAAAACCTGGCACAATATATCACAGCATTTATCTTTGGTAAGAATTTATTATTTGTAAGAATTCCATTATTTTGACACTGATGTCAACTTGTGCTCTCAAGACTCAACAGCATGTTCAAAGTAAAAACTATGACAGTGAGTCAGTAATGATCAAAGTCATGAAATTTTATAAAGAGAAAAATTATCTAGGTTGATGCTTCTGTATCATTTCAGTGGCGAGTTATACGACTAAAAGATATCAAGATCCCAGACTGGAAAATAGCTTGTAAATTTATACGTAAAGTTGGTGTACAAAGACTGGTAAATAAACCTATGTTACTTTTATATATGGTATTGCCATCTCCCTTGTCTGTTTGTTGGTCTATAATTAGCTTGGAAGAGGATAGAGGCCATAGTTTTGTCAGATTTTTATGCAAATTGGTGTGTAGCTTTATATCCAAAAGATCTTGGACCGTTTTGAATCTGGTTTAACCCTTGATATACTGAAAATAAGTTAAAAGTGGCTTGTGGTCACTGTTTAAAATTTAAAGTCAAAAAAAGTCATCATATGACATTTTACATACTATGAAAATATTTATATTTCAGAGTTTAAAAGGTTTACATCATTATGATGACAGAAACAGAACCTGGCATCAATTGATGGCTAATTTATATAATCTTGTTGCTCTACAAGAAATAACTTTTGGTCTGGTGCCAGCCACAGTTTTACATTCTGTTTGTGAGAAGTTACAGAGTTTACAAGTTTTCTCAGCTGAATTCATCTCTGATAGTAATACAGAACAAATGTGGTAAGAATACAGATTAGAAAGTGTTGAAAGGAGCTGTATGGTTCACTTTACATGTCCCTTTTCAAATTAAAAAATCTGGCATCTGGTTCTTTTGCAATCCACAAATACTAATCAAAGTTGAAACTACTGGTACTTCACTTTCAGGCTATCCACTTCTGAAATGCAGACGTTACAGACACACTTGAAAAATTGTATTGAAATGTAGGAGTACTGTATGTCAGAACTTAACTTCTGAAAAATGACACAATTAGCTGAAATTGAGCTGTAAAGCAAATAAGTACATCCTTTCAAGCCTTCTGGATCATTTCAGCTTGCTGATTGCATGATGATCTAATTCTGTATTTCAGGAACACGCCAACAAAGATAGATATTGGTAAGCTGAGTAAATTAGAATATTTACAGGAATTACGATTACGTGGTTTAGGTGGACTTGTTTTACCAAATACTTCCATTAGTGGTTCTTTATCAAATTTAACACAGTTAAAACAACTTAAAATATTGGTATGTACTTGTTTCGATATTTTTTTTTGATTAAAGATGAAGCTTATGTCACTCTTTGCAAATTTTCATTTATTGAATAGTGAAATGAAATGAATGGAGTTTTAGGTCCTACTTTTCTGCACCATGTAGGTAAATGAAGACAGGCAACGCCATGCAGGGTGCAATGAGGGAAATTATGCCAGGACAGCAGCATTAGCCTCCTCTTTTTCGATTTCCAACTGTCTAAGAATCTTTAACGTACACAGCCTGTAGCACAAGGGGCCTCGGTTTATTGTCCCATCCCAATGAATGGCATGGCATTTCTGGTTGTCATGAGCCAAAACACAAGTCGTAAAATTCCATGTCTGTCTATGCTAATTAATATGAAAATGATGAATATCTTCAAAAATTGCACCATTGCCCACTGCTTCATATTGGACAACCAATAGGATGTTTATAGTTTTAAAACAGATCTTTATTTTCAACTTTGGGTGTCTGTGGTTTATTTTTCAGTCTCTAACCTCTTTAAGGTCATTTGAAGATAGCGATTTTACCTTTCTTAGTGAGTTAAAGAACCTTACTACATTAGAAATAGGTGATTGTTCACCATGGAAAAAGGTAAAAGTTTTTCTCTTTTGTTTGATTTTACTGGGGAACCAGATGGTCCAGTGAGCATATTATGAGCTTCTGTAAGAATGTCGTTTGGGTTTTGATTGTGCACAAAATGAAGCTTAAGAGACATAAAAAAAAATTCTTATACTTTTCATCCCCATTGTAATCTAACAAGTTTTCTTCCGCAGTCCTGTTCTAATATCGTTACATTTAGCATAGAAAATTACGAAGTGAGCAAGTGATGCTTTATTTTCTCGAAGAATGTCTTTTATATATAATGGGTAATACAGCTCTGCCAGTGATATTGTATATATATAATCTTGTTATATTTTCTAGGCATATGAATCATTAGGTCAATTGGTCAGTTTAAAAAGATTAAGATTAGAATGTGGTGGAGATTTTGATAATACAACATTAGCTGATTCATTATCTAAATTACAGAGGTAAGAATTCAATGACTTTTACACATCTTGTAATACACTTGCATCAAAAACACATAAAACATGCCAGCTTCTGTTGTGCTTATACATGGCACCAAATCAGAGGATTTTTCTTTTTGGGGTATTGCATCATATACATCCAACCAGGATCAATTTTTGATCAATATTAATGTGCTCAGGAACAAGATTTTGAGTAGTGAAGCCATTGAAACCAACTATGTATAATATGGTATTTTCAATTAAGCCTATTTCTATATTTCATTATTATTATAGTTTAGAAGAACTAGAACTAGTCATGTTTATAGTACCTAATAACCTTGCTGAAAGAATGCATCATCTTCAAAAATTATACCGATTTGTTATCTGGCCTTATATTGAGGTATGTGTCTTATATTTTCTTCAGTGTTTTCTTACAATGCACAATTATAGTAAGCCTGACATAAGAAAGACATCGTTTATTGACCAAATGTAAGGAATGCCAGTCAATGGTAGGGCTGGACGATATTGGTTCAAGTTGATATCACAATATTAAGTATTAATTTATCACGATATGGGTATCTATCGCGATATGTTTTAAGTTTGTTTTTTACTGGTTTTTGAAAGAAAATTATGATCTAGAAATTTTAAATGTAACATAAAACAATAATTATATCTAAAAACATCCCAGTCTTGAATATCATGAAAAAAACATATCTTTCTTAAGTTACTTGTTAAAATTGTGTAGGTGATCTTATCTGGACAAAAATTTTACGATATATCATGATAATTACCATATATCATGATATTTCAGTATTTTTTTAATCAGGCGATTTTATCGTGATACCAGTATATCGCCCAGCCCTAGTCAATGGTGTTTTTATTCTTGGTTTGATTAGCATCAATTAGTCAAAGTTCAAATAAGCAACCTTGATCTTGTATCAGAAAAATCTGTCTGATTTACACTTTCGCCATCAAATACTGAGACTTTTAGCTATTACCAACTTCTCTGTACCTTGAATCATAGCTTGCTTTCTTGTATTCAAAATGCAGCGATTTTATTGCATTGTACACTAGCAAATAAGCCAATCAGAGACCTCAACAAAAAGTCTGTAAACACTAAGCCATGTTCACAGTCTTTCTATCAGAGGACTCTGATTAGCTGTGTTCTCTGGTGTACAATCCAATCAAATTGTGAGTGGATGGTTATTTTAAACTGTATATTTCAGGGAAGAGATGAAGACTCTAGTTTAGCACAACTTAATACCAACACTTTAAACAGTATATCTAAATTATGTAAACTGTTGTATTTAGAATGGGGTATAGTCCTTACTAATGATTCAAGTTCACCATCCAAAATAGTGGACAGTTTAAAATTTCAACCAGGACGATTCGACAGCAATAGCGTCTCCATTCAGGAATTGACTGAAACACTTTGTTCTATTATGCCTGATACTGAAAAGATTCGCGTCTTTAGAACCCAGCCTCTGAATCATACAAAATGTAAGAATAAAGATTCCTGAAAGGATTAAAAGACATCCTGCAATTATGTAGTGGCCAGAGTGAATTAGGCAGCTAGAAACAAAATGTTACGTTACTCCACAATTATGAGTAAGAGTTATTCTTGTAAATATCAATGGTAATCAAAAGAAGTATTAATCTTGATGACTTTGACTCAACTCAGTTATTTGGCAGCAATTTAGAAACATTTTGAGCAAGATGTTATTTAGAATTATTAATCAAAGTTTTTTGTGCAGATTTTCTGCCCACCCAAATTTCATGCCTTAGACTAAAACAGTTGATGTTTGAAAGTGTTAGAAGTGAATTACCAGCAGAATTCCAAAGAGTGACCGATCAAGAAAGGTCAAAAAGATTTTTTTTGTTTATCCAGACTGTACATACATGGACAGTTATGATTGGTTAAGATTATATGCAACAAGAAAATATGATAAGTCATTAGAAATACCAATTAATCAAATTAGTTTGCTTAATGTGACACTAGAAGATAAGGAAACCCATCTTTAAGAACATAATGATATGATCAAGAATATATGATAATTCATTAGAAACACCAATTATCGAATAGTTTGCTTGATTTGACACTAAAAATCATTGAAACCCATCTTTAATGAAGTTAAACAAGAATTACTCTATTATCAAGAATGGAAAAACCATCATTGATGAGACAATGTTCTTTAACATTAACAAAGCTTTGTTATTTTTAAGCTGCCACATAGTAAAGAAATACAAGAATATTTAACGAATCTCATGAAGCATAATGAACTATATATAGTCCCTTCACCTATAACAAAATACATATATAAAATATTATAGTTGTTATGATTAATATGCTTGAGAATATGGAACAACTGAATTTAATTCAGGGAAAATGGCCAAGAAATTTAAAGTTGATAGCAAATTATAGATAATTTATAGATTAATACATGAAATGTACAAATATTTTTACTTTTTTTCATTATTTTGTATATTGTTTGAATATATTTCATTATTTTTTTACATATTCATTTCAATTAGTTGACTTCATAAATTGTCCATATATCATTTTGTTTTTCTGAAGAAATTAATAGGTGATACAGTATAAATAAAAATAATATTTGAAATTATTGTATAAATTATTTTTAATCTGGATTCAAACAGGAGATTTTTGCTAACATCTGAGATGTCTGATCTTGGCTATAGATAACTACCAGAGCAAAAATAATCATCAACACAATATATTTTGATAAAGATAAAAATTGTTAATGTTGTCTTCACAAAATTCAGTGATACCATTTGTTAATGTCATATATTAACAAAATTAATTTCAACAACATTTCTCTGGGCGTTATTCATTTTCATAAAATTTTGTCAATTATAAACGACTTCATTTTGATACATTTGTTAATATGATATATAAACCAAAATTCATTTTGATAACATTTGTTAATATAATATATAAACAAAGATTGATTTTGATAACATTTGTTAATGTCATCTATAAATAAAATTCATTTTGATAACATTTGTTAATGTCAGTTATAAATAAAATTCATTTTGATAGCATTTGTTCATTTTCATAGCATTTGTTCATTTTCATAGCATTTGTTCATTTTCATAGCATTTTTTTGTATGATCATTAAACGGAATCAACTTTTGATTGCTGATTATTTGGTAATTCATTACACTAATTTAGACCACTGTTTTCAATAGCTCGTTTATTTCATTAGTTATCATTCAATTTAATAGCAATTTTCAGATATCTTGGCATTTATTTTATTAGTTTTCACTAAATTTCAGTATGTTTTCAGATATGATTAGTTTGTTTTCTTATGAAAAGTTCATGTAAAGTGTATGTAAAATATTTATGATATTTCTATTATAGTTATTATTTGTATATTACCATGTACCAAGAATTGTCTAATAAAAACATTATCATTTATTATTTTCTGTATGGTCAGAAAATATACTGTACTATTTTGAGTATAATGCGCACAATTAAATCCAAATGAGGGGTATTGTACCAGAATATCGGTACCGTGGTTCTGGGTCGTTATAAATTGTAAAACTGGTGGAAAATCATTGCTGGAAAGACAGCTCTCCAATTATTTCCAGTATTCAAGGACACTGGCACACAACCTCCTTCATCTTAAGAAAAGATATAGCCCCACTCGAATAATCAACATCATTCTGTTAAAATTTTAAAAATAATAAATTCGAGCACCTATTCTTATAGAAGGTATCAAGAATATGACAAGTGGGTATCGATATTGTCAGCTCAACAGATTGACACCACAAAGTTATATTACATGTAAATCATCGTTTTAATATTTGGACTTTGATAGACAATAGTTCAAACCCAGAAAAATGTATCACAAGTACAAACGAGAAAAATAATGCTTTATTTAGTGATTGATAGCTAAGTTTGCTGTGCAAATTTTAAAGCATTGTGATCATAACATGCTTTTTTTATATGGAGTTACAATTATAAACAATACGGTAAAACAAATTATAAAAGTGTCCCTGACTTCTTTTATTTGGCATTGTTTGTGGAACTACAAAGAAAAACATATTATTGGACATTATAAAGCAATACATAGTCTTAATAGTTTCTTTACAAACTGAATAAAGATCGATCTACTATCTGAATTACTTTTCAATTGAATTGAAATCCTAAATGGTTCTATATGTGTAATAATCTTCACATCCAAGACCAAACGGCCTACCGTGAAAATTCCTCTACCGCTCTACAAAAGATTCAGCTTTTCGGGAACCTCCCAGGAATGCCGAATGATCGAAGACGTTAGCACCTTAGTAATATTAATGATATTATCACATCCTCTGTTTTAATTTTGTGTTTATTCTAATAATTAATATTTACTGAAGAGAACTGGAAGCTCTATTTGGTAAAGGGAATATTTAAACGAAGCTCTCTCTCTCTTTATTAGAAGTTTCAGCACCGGATAATAGAATAACAATTAAAAGCATATTAATATACAATAATTAAACAATGACAATTTAAAAGAATAATTATGACAGGATGATGTGTTATATTTAATGTAAACACAGTTTAACATGATCAATAAATAAATGTAACAATATTTTAATGTTACTGACTTTTCAAGTGAAGTTTCTATCTTGTATTTAATCTATAAAATACATTTAGCTTAAAAATGATTTTTCAGCTTTAACAAAATAACCTAATGTAGCTTTGTACAGAAAAAAAAATTTCCTACTTCTATTTTCATGGCTTATAAATAATTCCAACACCGGTAAAAAACAAACATTGTATTATAATATTTCTTAATTTTTTAAGGCAATTCAATAAACTTAAAGATACCAAGCCCTATAATTATTTGGCTGACCAAGGTCCAATTCTGCTTTTAATTGTGACGTCATCAAACCAGGAAGCACCAAAATCCAATAAAAAAAGAACAGTCGTGAAAGTCATGATAAAATGTGTAAGTTTACAGGTTTCAGGTTTCAGAATTGTTTCCATCAAGAATTGCAACCTATTTATAGTCTGGCATAAAAGATAAAAATCAAAAACGAAGAAATAAAAACGAGATTCAACATTAACGATATATGAAGGCCTAAATAATAAATAAAATAGAAATCCTAAATTTAAACATAACTAATCAACGATCTAGAACAATTGGACAGGATTGAATATCGTCCATTGCAACGCCCCAATATATCTGTCCGTCTTTGGCCCAACCACGAGCCATCTTATCTGTAGTGAAATATTGTCCAACACCACCGTCTTTACTGATCACAATAACTCCACCAGAACTACCAACTTTATTATACATATTCTCTAGAGCTTTCTCACTAGCTTCCTGAGCAGATAAACCTGAAATGACATAGATATTTGCTATTTTGTAAAGCTGGCCGTCAAATGCCACTGGTTTGTTAATATTGCCATCTTTGAATGTCGTTATTTTATTGCCATGATCAATGAATCGGTTACCGTATGACAAGGAAATAATTTTTGCTTCTGAAATCGTGGTCTTTGGCAGCTTTCTGTGCACAATAATCATCTCTGCAGCAAATGAAATGTTTACCATGGCAAGGATGCCTATTACTATCACAATTGAGTATAATTTGCAATGGTCAAATGGTCAATTATTTTTTATTTCGAATGACTGTAAATAAGCCAGTTGAAAGACAATATCTATGTCAAAGGACTGATTAATAATCTTACCCTGTTCCATTAAGAATGTGATATGTCTAGCAAGACAGACTTTGATAATACCTTCACCATGACCAGTTGTAGAAACACCACCTACTTCATTATCAGCATACCCACCACAACCTGTAATAATAATTAGCCAAGAAATTTAAATTGAGGACTCGACTTACATTGTTAATGTCTCATGATGACGTCATTGCAATCCTGGTATCAGCATGGGAGAATGATCAATTCTGTCAGTGTGTTTGTATCTAATTGAGGCGTTGGATCCTCATTTGACAGCCGATTAAGCTCTGTAAGCGACTTAAACAATAATCAAGAAGAATAAACTTAAATCTGTTTAAGATTAGGCACACTCGAGCTTTTAGGAATACCTGTTCTTATAGCAGATGACTTACCGACTAAAGGTGTATCACCAACACGACCTGGACGTTTAGCTGTAATTCCCCCTGTTGATGTACCAGAGGCAACGTTTCCCATTGAATCTACAGCTACAGCTCCCACTGTATCATGACCAACTGTTTTCCTGCAATGGAATAAAAATTGACTAAGTATTAAGTGGTTTAATTCATATATCGATATAGATTTGGAAGCAATTAGGGTATCTTTAGGAAAGTCAAATTTCATGGTAAAGATGACTTTGTAATAAATCCTGAAGCTTAACCAACAATATTGGTTTCCAAGGGCGGAAAGGAAATCATCATTGAAGCTAAAAATGTCCCCGATGCACATTTGAAATTTCTTTTGAATTCCTGTAAATCAAATTGGGATAATTCTTACCTGTGACCAAACATAGTATTAACAGTATCCTTGTAACCGCTAATATGAAACCTCTCCCACTCTTCCTTGGCATGAGGACTGACTAACGACTCTATTTCTACTCGAGGTACTCCCATTTCTTTAGCAAATTTATTTGCACCTTCACCAACTAACAGCACATGGTCTGTCTGGAAAGAAATCCAACAGGATAATGATAGCAACGGCTATCGATACAATAATGATAGCAATGACCATCAACACAACAATGATAGCAATGACCATCAATATGATAACAAATACAATGACCATCAACATGGTAATGATAGCACTGACCTTTAATATGATAATGATAGCAATGACCATCAATATGATGATAGCAATGGCCAACAATATGATAATAAAAGCAATGACCATAAATATGAAAATGATAGCAGTGGGTATTAACATGATAATGATAGCAATGGCCATCAATACGATGATGATAGCAATGCCCATTAATATGACGATGATGACAATGATCATCAATATGTTAATGATGACATTGATCATCAATATGATAATGATGACAATGATCATCAATAGGATAATGATGACAATGTTCATCAATAGGATAATGGTTACCGACATGAAAATTGGTAAAATTGGCCATCGTTATGATAATAATTATCAATATCACAGTGGCCATCAATAATGAGAGCAATGACCATTAATATGATGACGATAGCAATGACCATCAAAAATTACTGTTTCCTTGATCAAATCAATTCAAATGAATGATACTGATAATGTTACCTTTTCCATAACCAGGGTAGCTAATTTGATAGGATTTGCTATACTGTTTACACAGCCAACTGATCCAGCTTTCATCGTACTTCCATCCATTATCATTGAATCCATTTCTACATCACCGTCATAGGTCAAAACTGATCCATTTCCTATGATAAAAATATGACAAAGATGCAACAACGGCTTAAAGCCACCGTCAAAGTGTATGTTGGCAAACATGGTTCAATATGGGTGAACGCTTTCATATCATGATATTAATTCATAAAATTGGATTTTTTACTGGAATGAGCTCCAGTGTTAGCTTGACAAATTAGTTTATCTCTCCTTGATCTTACCTGCATCAAAGTTTGGGTCATCTTCCATCTTGATGATAGCAGCTTGGACAGCTTCTAAAGCTGTCCCTCCGGATTGTAAAACCTGATATCCTGCCCTTAAAGCGTCCTGAATACCAAGTTTGGTATCAGCTATCATGTTTTCTGGTATAGCCCACGCTCCTCCATGTACTGCGATGACTGGTGTATTCATTTTGGTTGATTCTGCAAGTAAATTATTATTATATTACTCTTTTGTACTAACTTCGGGTTTTGATCTGACATATCAGACAACGCAGCGCATGCAAAGAGTGAAACGACGTGGAAGTGATAAATGGCTTTTTTTTTATTGACAAAAAGGGTAGTGGCACATTGCAAAATGTGCAAAACGTAGATAATTGCCTCAAGAAAGCGCAAAATTCTGAAAAGTAATACGGATATCTAAAGCTGGGATGTGTTGGTAAATCAATCAGAACCAATAGGCCTATATCAGATTGCACAGAATGTAGGGGTACTCAGATATCGAAATAAGATGCCATCAAAACCACCCGTTGTTAGTCCCACGAGAGTCTGAAAATTTAATAATACCACAAAAAGTATATATTGCCATAATTTGAAACGAGAGATTTCAACTGAGTTGTATTCTCGTTAATAACCAATTTGTGGTTAACCCCAAAATTCATTCATAAACAATATAGCTTAGCCTACTTACTCACCTGTTGACAAAATTGTGAACAAATAATATAATTACTGAATTTTATATACATTTCGTGACTCGTGATACGCTTTTAAATTGATATTTTCTAAGTGGTATAAGCCCTTTTAACAGATGCGACTTGAATACCAGCAGATTATGTGCTTTCATCATTATACAAAGCTTTAATTAAAGGAAATGTCTTATAATAGCTTACTTTCTAATTTAAATACTTTAGGGTTAAATAGATTGCCAGACAGGGTAACATACACCTACACAGTCAAAATTATAACAATCAACACAATCTAACTCCAAACCATTTAAAGGGATTGTCAAGAGGTTTTCTAAAATGTGTATGTGTATCGGTGATAGCATAAGTTTGTGCCATTCTTATTTTCAATCAGACGTCTGTGGTTCCTGCAATTCCACTTAAAAGAAGTGCTTGATGACGTTACTAATGGCAAATTATTCTTTATCACATAAGGCCCTTCGCAATTAGTGACGTCACCACCAGTATTGCAGTTTTGTGGAATTGCAGGCACCACAAAAGTATGATTGAAAATTGGAATGGAGCATTTGCTGTTATCAGTATCCCCGATACACATTAGAAATTTAGAAAACTTCTTTACAATCCCTTTAAGCCATTGTTCCTATTTGTCGACAAATATCGGATGTTTCCATAAAATAAAAATACTATTGTTTAAAAACGTTTATCCAATACGAGTTATCCGCTAAAAAAAAAACAAAAAACGATATTGGCTTGAAACCCCAGATAGTTAAATGCCTAATGAAAACTACTACATGGCTTATAAGCCCACCTGAAACACTCACACGGGATAAAAGCCCAAAAGCCACATGACATGTAGGCAAACTTTCGCGTTAATCTTCCGACTACATTTTAAAATTCCATACTCGGTAGTGTTATAATCTATAATAACTCTTAGTATATAAAACACTCAATAAATATGGCTTAAGGCATGCTATTCTCGATACTTCTACTCCATATAGAACGGATAATTCTTACTAAGACAACAAATTCCACAAAACGACTGTCCTACCTGTTTTGTTATTGCTAGCCATTATTTCTCACTAATGGAACCACCGACATTCAATCGACCTCTGCCGTAATATCCGATCTTAATATCAGGAACGCACTGGATTTTATAAGGCCCTTTACCTATACAGTTCTCCGATACCGAGAGTAAAGTACAACTAATAGTAATACAATTTCTCAATAGTATTTGGTAGTATTATGTATTATTACCACATTGATCAGTAGAAAGTGTGTTAAACTATGATCTATAAATACGTCATTCATCTAATTCCCCCTATCGATTTTTATACTCATTCATGTGAAGGTCATTTCGTTCTATTTTCCATTGATCAGTCACCTTAAATGACCTAATTATTTTCGAATAGACATTGAAAAGTGCCTAAAAATGTTCTATTTTTTTCTATTTAGATTTATGCAACGTATTTTCCATACATCAACGATTTTATTATATATTTTCAAAGAATAATATACGCGATATATAATAATATAATTATATTTGATATACTAGTTCTTTTATATACCTACTGCATCATTATAATAAAGCATTAAATTATTATAGAAAAAATAAGTATCATAATTTCATTTTGATATACTAACTATTAAATCATGAACTAAACTAAATTCTGCATTATTATTGTATTATCATAACAGTATCCTACAAGTTATCCGACACACAATCATCAGAGGAAAGTGTAAAAAGAGCTACCACATACTTTATTTAACCTACCAACGATCATCATAAAGATTTCTAATACGTATTTAATGATCAGAAATCATAGTAAAGTATAACATTTTTTATCTTTTTCCTGCCATGTTAACCAAACCATGACCCTAATCAAGCCTCATTTAAAGAGAAATGTTTGCCATTAGTACTTATAATCATTATACTTTAACCTTGACCCACAGACGTTAGTAAACTCATCAATGAAAATGACCTACTTGTTAGAAGGAGATTATTTGGTGCTCTAACTGGCATTGTACTGTTCATTGCCATTGGTATCGAAGAAAACCATTATCTTAAGCTACGATGCAGTCGTACATACAGAGATGTCACACCAATAGTCTGAGTATTAGACCCAGTTGCATGAGTAACGACAACCACAATTTGAAATACATGTACTAGAGACGTTTTTTGTATGTTTCCCTTCTTTTTTTGCATAGTTTTGTCTGTGAAACGATGGTCAGTTCATTTTGATTTGTTGGAAACCATGTTTACCCCCTTCTAGGGGGGGGGGGGGGGGGGGGGTCTTCAAAAGTACTAGAAATGTACGAAAATCTCATAATTTCTTAAAAATACTCCAAGCATAGGACTTTTACTCATTATTTCTATCTATGTCTTTTCTATAAATCACATAGTATCTTAAAATGACGTCTAGTCATTTTAGTATTCGAATGCGGATAATAATTCTGGACACATGGATTTGAAGGCTCAAATTTCGACGGTTAGCTGTGAACAGTATTACTGATTGGCCTAGCTAAAAATAATTCTGTTTCTGAGACTAAAGTAAGATTGGTCACAAAAATGGCGCATCTGTCCCTTTAAATAGATCCATTGATCCAAAATAGAAAAGATAAATGATTATTCAGTAAAAAATAATAGTAAATTTAAACTATTTTCGAAATAATGAAATGTCCTCAATTGAATGAAGGGAAATATTTATTACCACCACATATCCCTGTTTCTTTGGACCCATGCCAACCTCCTAACCTGTCACAAATATGAAAGTTGTGATATTAAACGCTTTAAAGATCTCAGGCAGAAAATGTTAAATTGTTAGAAGATGTCATTAAGAAAAATTCAAAAGAAAAAGTTAAACATAATTACTCAGTTGGCTGAATATCCGAATTACTATTACATGTATACAAATAGGTTTCCTGTTAGGCACTCCTTTATCTAATTCAACGTAATATACAGTCTCTTAAATATGTTATGGTTCACGTAGGTTATAAACAAGTTATTCTTACGTATAATATTGCGTGCTAGGAATTTTAATAATTAAGGTCACTTTTTATAATTAGAAATTTTATTATTTTTTTTAAACCATCCTTAATGGGATTGTAAAAAGGTTTTCTAAATTGTTTATGTGCATCGGGTACACTTATAGCATTAATTTGCACCATTAATCCTGCAATTCCATTAAAAAAGTGTTTGAAGACACTAATAGACGCGAATAGCCTTGACAACCTCCCTTTAAGCGCCCACTATATGGCTATAGTAGTCGATTGAATTGCATTAAATGAATTAATTCAATTATTTGTTTGATTTTGTAGTTGATAGTAGGCCACTAATCTAGAACAATTATCAAAGTTATTGACTTGAGACGGGTTATTTTAAGTCAGTGATGTGAGGCCAAATTCATATAAACTGTAATTTTACTCAAACTATGAAAAAGCAACTTCATCTATAGAGCTTTTATCATTAAGTCTTATCATTATATTTCCTTTAACTGTAACCATATTCAGGTTCTTTAAAGGGACAGAAGCGGCATATTTTGACAATCAGTCATATTGTTTACAGCTCACCGTCGACATGTGAGCCTTCAAATTTATGTGTGTCCAGAATTATCCGCGTTTAAAAGTTAAAAAGACGACTCGTCTTTTGATGAGATACTAGACCTATCAAATAGAATAAAAAATTCCTAGATATTTTTGAAGGAATTACGTTCTGAAGACTATTTACATATATCCTTTACTCAAATCAACACCTAAAAATGGCGCATTTTTTCGTTTAACTGTTATTTTTATCAGTAATAAAAATAGTGTACTGTTATAAACACCATGCACATACCGTAAGTGTACATACAGGAGCGGGTCAAGTTCACCGTGCTATATACACATACATCAATATATCCCATGTATATCATCCCATATTCTACCGCTGTGATATAGGAACAAAATAAATGGTGTCATTCTGTGACTAGAATTTTCAACATCGCTCTCAGGGAGTTCACATAGCGTTTTTTTTTTAACTTTTATACACATTTAGATTGGTTGACCGACAAAATTATCTCCTTCCACTTAAAGATTCTGTTTCAAGATCAAGTTCTTCTGGAATTTCAAAAAAAAAATCTGACGTTGGACGAGACACATACACAGGGCAGAAAACTCTCTTCAGTCCCTTTAAAGCTATCTATTCCTCTAAATTTTCAATTATCGTTTTTCCTCCAAACCATTAGTTCAATTTCTTTTAAAACCACTGATGTCGGCGGGGAATTGTACAAATTATAATGGTACCGATACACAAACAAGAATTTCAGAACCATTTCTAGCCCCTCATCCCAAAATCTGTAACATTGATTTCCTTTTAAAATAAAAAGAATAGAAAAATAACCTACCTGTGTGATTCTAGTGATGCAATACCGTACCAAACCACATACCGGTTCTATATCTTTTTGCCACGCGCTGTTTTTTATTTATTGACTGGCGTTCATCTAAATGTTAAAGCCAGAATTAACCTTGATTTGTTTTGTATGAGGAACTTTAGAATTCGGTGATATAACGAAAATATATAAGATATATCTAGATATTCACAGTTGAGAACACGCAAGAGTCTTCATGGTGCGTTCTTTACAGTGTCAAGGGCATTAACTCTATAGTTTACAAGATGAAATAATTTGAACTATTATTTGAATATTGTCTCCATTTTGGCTCTACTGATTCAAGAACTTAATATTAGCTACTCGTATCTCTTTCCGGAATGAAATCTCGACGTCTGGTTCGCCTACAACCAAGTATGAAAATGTTATTGCAGTAACAACGTCATATATCATTTGTATGTGAATTTTAGACGAATTGGAATATCGGGCTGGTCAATCAAGGGTTAGAAGTCGTCTGACTTGTAAGCCTCTGTTAAATCAATGTATGCATTACTATTTTACATTTGCTTCCTTGGTTTTCTTCAATTAAACAACAGTCCGCTCATTAAAATGTTCTTCAATAGCTATCCCAATCTGGTGCAGAAAGTTGCGACATTAAAAACTCAGTTTTATTTGATTGTCAAAAAAAGAACAAGATATCGATTTTGTCTATCATTCTAAAATTCTAAAAAGGAATTGAACAATTCAAGGATGTAAAATCCTTTTTGTTTTAAGAAGTACAGTTATCGAAGATGTACTCCCTTTTGAAATACTTTCAGAAACAGCTTTCTTGTCGATACAAAGTAACTGGAAAAGCGTGTCTGCGAATCTATGTCTGGATAATTATGACTAATCTAAGAGCCAATGAAATAACGGGCACCTGCTTGGGAGCATATGTTTTCAGTACAAAAATTCTTGTATCTTGTATGATCCTGAAAATTTCGTCTTAAAACTTATCAATCAACTATTCAAAAATTCTATTTGTTTTTTTCAAAATTAATCTTAAGTCACATAAAGAGATATGCTTAAAGTAAAATATGGAAATTAGCAATATCAAAATGAACTCTCCCGTTTGTTTACATGTCGCTATGCAATCAGAAGGGGTTTTCCAATAAACAGATGTAAACAACGCTGTCTGAGCGAAAGCATTAAACTGTAATATAGTTTGTGACAGGATTCAACGTGCATTTTCGAAGATTATTTGCAGATCGGAAATAAAATGGAGCGGAGACAGGCTACGTTAAAGGAAAAGTTAAAGACTCATTACCAAAATCGAGATTTTAAACCGAAAGAAGAATCTGCAAATCGAGTAGGGATGTGTTTTTACTGGTTTATGGTGTTTTCCTTATTGATTGAGGCTGTGTATATATTAATACCTACATTATACAAAAGTAAACCGACTATTAGAATATTAGCTTATGTGTTTGTGTTCATTGCATTACTAGAATGTACTGTATGTTGGTTTTTAACGTGGCGAGATGTAGCAAATTATGTTAGAAAAACATTTAAAGGAAAATATTTTTCGGATGCGAGTGAAACGCCTCAGGGGTGGAGATTATGCCCCTCTTGTCAGTTAGATGCCCCACCAAGGTCTCACCATTGTAAACTTTGTGGAAAATGTATTTTGAAACGAGACCATCATTGCTTTTTTACCGGATCATGCATTGGATTCTATAATCAACGATATTTCATAGTGTTTTGTGTTCACATGATTTGGTCCAACTTGTTTGCCTTGTACATGCAATTGAATTATCTAAATCAGGTCATGCCAATTTTTTCAAGTTCGTTTTTGAATTACATTCCAGCAATAAACATAGTATTTTGGATGATGGGAAAAATTCCACTTGGTTTGTTGTTATTGACAATTCATTCATATTTTTGTATTTTCACATTAGGAGCCAGTTTGTTTTTCCTTATCTGGCAAGTGTATCTCTTATCAAGTGGAAAAACAAGTTTTGAAGCTTGGAAGAATATAAACCCTTATGGAAAAAGTGCCTTAGACAATATTCGTTCGGTGTTTGGACCATTAAAGTTAGCTTGGATCATGGTATTTTTCCCTGTGCCTTTTGAATTGAGTGAAGATGGAATAAAATGGGAAGTGACACCACAACATTTAAAGAAAGGACATTAAATTCATTGATATTTAAAAATAATATTCCGCACTGCTTTTTAGTGAGAGAAAACATGTGAATTTGGATTAAAATAATTGAAAAAAATTTTGCTGTCAGTAATTAAATGAACATGAAAAATTTGGTGCCTAGTTTAGTTTGCATTCAAATTCTATCATTTATTTTTACAATCTCCCCATAATTACTGCAATCTACAGACATTTACTTTGTAATTCCAAATACTAAGTTTCTTAGACATAGAACTGTTATTTTATATCAGGGAATATTTCATTTTCGTATCACATAATTTCATCATCACATCAAAATGTGTAGCAAACATATATATCTGTCATGTGTGTACTAGTTTGTTTTGTTTGTGCCTTATTTATTTCACTGCCATTATCATATGTTTTCAAATAAAAATCAAAGCTAAATAAATTGTCGAGTTATATAACTAATCACCCATATTCAACTACAAGTATATTGATATCAAAGCAAGTCATGTGACTGTTCCATGCCAGCCTCTCTTACCTGCATCACTGACAGGTGGAAATCGGGGTTGGAAAAACCGAAGTTATTACGTGAACCTGCCAGGATTGAACCCTGGACCTTCAGGTTAGCGATCAAACGTCTAACTCACTGAGCCACCGCGGCTCCCAGTAAGAACTAGGAGACAATAGAATGGTCAGGAAAAAGAATAATTGTTGGTCTACACATGAGTCCATTCCAAACAGCATCTGTATATACACCCAAAACATAAACAAACTACGGATTCCAAGAAAAATTTCTTTAATTCAACAAAATTAACAATGATATATAGAAATAATTCTCAGGAGAAAATAATTAGATAATTATATAGAAGTGTTACAAACATAGCTATTGTCAAGAGCATCACTTTTATTACCTGCCCTAGATCAGGTAGATTCATATTACTGTCAATATTTGGAAATTGACTAAAATTGCTTAGCTTTGATTTTTTGCTTATTTCAACGACTCAAATTCACAAACTTTGTACTGATTTTATAAAAATAGCAATAGGAAAGGCCAATCATTGTCATAGTGATAAAAAAGAAAAGAGGCACTTTATCATCAAAAGATAGTGGACCACAGACATATACGCCTACCGCAGCCATATACGCCTACCACAGCCATATACGCCCACCACAGCATGCGGATGGTAAAAACGAAACATCCATTTTAAGTTTCATCAAAATTGGTTGAAAACTAAGAGAGTAATAGCATATTCAAGATTTTGGGGCAAGGGCAATAACTCTGCTTCTAACAGTCGAAAATAGCTCAAATTCGAACTTGATCTTCGTTTTATGAATATGTATACACATACCGAATTTCATTTGATTCCATAAAAAAATCTAGTTTTTAGAGCGTTTACAAACAAATGTTGACGGCCGCTGGACCGACGGACAGGGGTGCCGACAATATACGTCCACATAGAGAGATGTGGGCTTATAAAAATTTGATTCCCAGATGCATGTGCAATACGCCAAAACAGGTCCAGGTTTTTCCAATCATTGTCAAACAGTGGCATTTCTACAGTAAAGAGCCAAATTTGAGCAATTTACACAGTGAAAGCATAGCTTGTGCCCCCCTGGAAAATTTTGTGGCCTCTGCTCGGCCTCCTAGAAACACAATTGTTGTCAAGCCTATATTACAAAATAATTGTCAGAGACCGCAAGCAAGTTTCAGATTACCAATGTCACAAAATGTTAGTAGCTTATTCATATGTTTAATTTCTCAAGTTAATGTTTTAACCATTCCAAGCACTGTATAGATGTATATGACTTGTTGTATGTTATTGAGCTTTAGTTACAATTAATACAGCAGATGGTACCAGGCCTGCAAAATACAACATCAGTTTACATTCAAACAAAACATACAATTAAATACCCATTAATTAATGAAGAGACCAAGCAACACACTTTTTAGAAGACCACTCCCTAATTCACATTTTCATTCATTTAATTGTAATAGAACCATGTTTTCGAGTTTCATTCTGATCAGTGATGAGGATGCAAAATTTTATTTTGATAAGTAACACAGATACCAGATCAGAACAAGATCTATCATCTAGGTGTGGCTGATTTCATTGTCAATTCCAAAATATGATTCATATTTTTCAATAAATTAAGCCAAACTTGAGACTTTCCAATATTGTCTCATGAGAGTACATAACATTTGTAACAAGGATTCTGATAGGTTATATTGTTCCTAATGCATCCAATCAGAATGAAGATTATGATAATTCTACCCACCTAATAAATCTAAAGGCTTATCCATATCTTCTGCTGTAAAAACTTTTCTAGGGAAGGAAGTCATTAAAGAGAAGGATCCACTACCATCAGTTCTATTCATTTCTATGTATAGTCTGACAGCTGCTAAGGATTCTTTAGCTTGAAATGATTGAGTTAATGCTTGACCATTTGTTAATCTTATCTAAAAATATTCAATGTATAAAATTGGGGTTAACCACTAAGTGACGTCACACAATTTTAATGTCATACACTTTTTTACTTATATTACTAGGAGTTCAAGGTATTTGACGTTTTATTTCATTTACAACCAGGATTCATAAGGTTAAGCGAGCCACATTTCCAAGATTGGGGGAGGCTGGACCGTATCCTCTTGACAATGTTAAGCTATTACGAACTTCCTCCTATACCTTGACTGAAATAGTCGTTTGCAAATGCAGCTATATGGTTGGATTGTATGTTAGCAAATAGAGTCTTCAGGAGGGAATCTGTAAACACAAAGCTATAATATTTACATTCTGTTAGTCCAAATTACCTGTAAGCGACAGTCATCATAAGTTTTAGCTGGTACTGGTGTTGACACTGCTGCTGCAGGAGGTGAAGATACGGCTGCAGATTTTGATGTAGAATTAGCTTTAGCTGCCTGAAATAAAAAACCTTTTGACTTATTGACAAAAATATGGGGTAGTAAATTTCAAAAACCTTGAACGTTAATCCTATAAAAGGTTTCAAACGGGGCAAGCTAACATGTTATCCAACACAACGGCTTTTATTTTGTTGTTTGTCAAGGACAGTCTGCTTTCCATCCCAACACTTCAATCTGCATCACTAACAGAAATCAGCAGCAAGTAAATGCCTATCATCTTTTTTTGTTCTGTTTTTGGGACTGAATTTCATAATGTCACATGATTTTCAAATTGACCAATCAACAAACTTCTATATAAGTTGTGAATAAGAACAATGCACGAACAACAACTATATGAGTATGGGCAACTGTAATTGTATGTAAAAGGCAGTTTTGATTGGTTAAAATCTATTGCCTCCTACAAGATATTTGGTTAGATGGAACCAAACCACATGGGACTAAAATATACATATCACCTGGGCAGCTCTCTCCCTTTTATCTTTTTCTATTTCGTCTTTCACTTTTTGTCTGAAATATTGAAATAATTCCTTTTCACAAATCTCAATTCAAAAAATTTTAACTCACAAACATCTGCGTTCAAGATTCCTTGATTTGTTCCTGAAAGGATGGATGAAGAGTAACTTGATAAACAAGCCACAATGTTCATAGAAGTAAATGTTCAATCTAAATAGGGGCTTTGGACTAGGGACTCAGAGATTCACAGCTGATCAAGTAAAGATAACATCAATACAATTTACCTGGCCAACTTTTCTTCCATTTTTTCTCTTCTTCTCTGTTCCGCTAATTTCTTTATTTCATCTTCCTCTATCCTAAAATAGATTATTTCATTTTTCTATTTCCTACTGGTAACACACAGAATCTTAACGGCAAGGTACCCTTTCAAAATATCTTACCATAAATTCACTTATTATCAAAATTCTTATCGAAAGAAGTAGGTAAAAGCAGAAAATGTCATCATTCATATTACATACACCAAGACTTTCCGTAAACTTAGTGGTCAAGTGGGACTAGAAGGCTCAAATTTCGGCAGTAAACTGTGAACACTATTACTGATTGGCTCACCTAAAAAATTACAGTTGCTGAGACTAAAGTATGATTGGTCAAAAACATGACCATGAAAAGAAAAGTTTGAATCTTGATTTTCAAATGAGAATCAAAAACTCAAACTTACTTTTGTTTGATAACTGTCATATCTTTGCCTGTAGTTCTCCTTGCCTTTTCTTTGGCTAGTTGTTCCTTCCTTTCTTCTTCTTGTTTTTCCAGTCTTTTCTGTTTCAATCTCTCTTGTAATCTACATTTAGAGGAAAGCGCTATTTTTAAAGCTGGATCCGTTACTTAAATCTTTCATCAGATTGGTCAATCTTTCAAATTAATTGTTATTCCTTTTTTTGTGATACAGGACATGAGCAAAGATAGCAGTGATTAAAAGCATCCACAATTGATTGTATTTTTGAGATGGTTAATCACGTCAGTATGTGGTAGGTAAAAAAAAAAATACCTTTCAAATTTCATGAAATAACTGCTGAAAATTGCACCATTTATGATGGGTTTCCTTGTTTTTGTGTCAAATTAAGCAAACTATTTGATTAATTGTTGTTTCTAATGAATTATCATGTATTCTTAATCATATCATTATGTTCTTATTGCATATAATTAAGAGTTTTAACCAATCTTAAATGTCCATGTATGAACAATCTGGATAAACAAAAAAAGACGTTTTGACCTTTCTTGATCGGTCACTCATTGGAATTCTGCTGGTAATTCTCTTCTAATCTAGCTAATTATGAATTAATTATGGACATTTGAAACAAACTGGTATTTTTCCAAGTCATTAGAACACCTCTACATTCTATTCATATAAGTATTATCATTTTCATTTTTTTAAATGAAAATAAGGGAACCCCATTAAAGCACAAAAATTCAAAAGGTGTCAAAATAATTGCTAACTCTACTGTAAGTCTACTACACCAAAGGTCAGATGTCAGAAATTCATAATAACCTTTGCAGCAGCGAGTTGACTTGTATATTATGTTAAACTTTTACCGATACATGCTCACCTTTCTAATTGTTGCTTTTTCTCTTCTTCAGTAAGAGGTTTGATTTCTTCAGTAGACTCTGAGAAACTGGAATGTTGAGTTCTTGCTGCGTGGGCTTGTACATCCAGTTCACTTTTCATTAGTTTACCACATCTATAAAATTACACATAACTTTTAGAGTTGAAACATAGGATATAGTCATTTAAATACTTGATTAACCAGCCAATAGAGCCTTGTATCACTCTTTTATGAAGGATTAACGTCTGTCTACAATTACATTACTGTCAACATCATAATATGAATAATATTTCTATCATCTTCAACAACATTAATGATTTTAGCTGTTACGTTACATAGCTGAATGTATCGTGCATATTTTTAACGCTTTAGCAAGGGGAAATTTTAATACAAGGAATGAATCAGATACTGTCACTTAAGATCAGTATGCATAATAAATAAATCCTTTGTTTGACACTTTAACTGAGACTGGTCACTTGTGGCTTCAACAGAGACTGGTCACTAGTCGCTTTAACTGAGATTAGTCACTAGTCGTTTCAACTGAGACTGGTCACTAGTCGCTTCAACTGAGACTGGTCACTTGTGGCTTCAACAGAGACTGGTCACTAGTCGCTTTAATTGAGACTAGTCACTAGTCGTTTCAACTGAGACTGGTCACTAGTCGCTTCAACTGAGACTGGTCACTAGTCGCTTCAACTGAGATTGGTCACTAGTTGCTTCAACTGAGACTGGTCGCTTCTACCGAGACTTATCACTAGTCGCTTCAACTGAGACTGGTCACTAGTCAGAGTTTGACTATTCTTTTGAACTATTTTTAATTGAAAATATTATAACACATACTCATCACATTTTAAAGATTTAGCTTGTTCTTGAGTTTCTTTATTTTCAGGGGGTGTATCTCCTCCTGTAATAGATATCAGAATTATACACAAAAATAATAGACTAACACTTTGAAATAAGATCATAAAAGAAGATTTGAACGACATTTAGAAGTTGAGAGCACACTTAACTGAAAACACAAGGGAATATATTATGGCATAACACACTTCTGTAATAACAAAGTACGTACATAATGTTTCAACACAATTTACACGTCTTCATCAGAAGTCCTTCTTCATTCCATCTGATGACGACACGTATAATTTGTGTTGAAACGTTATGTACTTTGTTATTAAAGAAGTGTGTTATACCATAATATATTCCCTTGTGTTTACCGTAATAAGATCATAAAACTTAAAAGGTTTCACGAGGACAGTCTTTGTTAAATGTAGAGAGTCAAGCAATTCCTATGTGGGCACATTGACATCCATAGTAAAAATACAAAAACCTTTCATGGAAATTGGTTGTAATACTTGTAAACTGAAATGAAATGGAGTTTTAGGTCTGACGATTCAGCTCATGTGACTAATGTTTCTTGTCCTATCAGAAAGACTAGATGCTTTATTTGAAAATTTGCCAAATAAAATGATTTTCAATATTTTTACCAAGGGAGATAATTTTTATCTTTAAAACACAAGTACAAAATAACATACCTGCTGCTTCACCAAGAGTGTAACCTTTAGATGGTTCTACAGGATCATCAATATCAGGATCTTCAGAATGGGCAAATAACCTAAAAAAAAAAATTATCAGAGTGGATTGCGAAAATAAATTTGTTACAGTAACAGTAAACAGTAACTTAACTCAGTAGGCTACAGTAACAGAAACAGTAGTTGAGATACGGTCGACAATTCTATCTACATGTAGGTCTAAATGCTTTAATAATGTAATTTTACTGACCAGTCCATAGCTAACTGTACACTTTTATATCCTGTCTTCGAGAGAGCCTTTTCCCTAAAAATAACAAATCAAATATCATTCTTTTTTGTGAAATTCTTTTCAGAGATTTTTTTTAAAAGACCCTGTTCCATCTGGCATTTCTTTGCCACTCCAATGGCCTGGTTTATCTAATTGTTTTTATATCCCCATTTCTTCAGGGAAAGTTGAAATTTAGATTGACATTTAATCATTTAGAGCTATGTCACTAATTTGTGATAATTTTTTCAGTTTTTGATATTTTGTGGGTCTAAGGAAGGCACGGATAAAATTTGCACTGAGAGTGACAGAAATTCTTACGCTCTATTTTTGGGAAATCCCATTTCCATTAGTGTTTCTACATCTGTTGGCATTTTGAAAAAACGACAAGGATCTTTACAGGTAACCGGTGACAAAACAAAACATATACAGAAATCCAATTTTGTTTCTTCGAAACCCGTCGAGACTACCGTACATTTTAAAGAATGTAAACAAAAATCACAGAAAACGAAATATATCTTCACACCTTATAATTTTTTACATAGATTTATGGTATTTGTGTATTTTTGTGATTTGGGAATTATAACTTGTACATTGGATAGCTTCAAAATAAAAAGATGACTGAACAAACGTTGCCCAAGTCGAATGTAGGCCTAAAACTAAAACCATATAGATAGGAATAAATTTGTTGGCAGATGGTATTTATTTTTCTGTGAACTGTAAACAGCACATGTGACTAATGTTTTTTGTCTTATCAGAAAGACTAGATGCTTTATTTGAAAATATGCTGAATAAAAAGGAATATAGAACTGATGTTTTATGTTATAATTGATGCTGGATTAAGTGAGATGACAAAAGAGGTTGTTTCTCCCACAAAAATCTATAAAAAAAACACTTCAAGAGTGGAAATGTGTTCATTTACCTTAGTTTCTGATCCTGTTTATACGCTTCATGGAATGTGGACGTATATAATTGCCGTCACTACTGTACGTCCATCCTTCCGTTCACTTTTCTTATAGAGAGAAATAGAGGCAAAAGAGTTTTTATTCAAACTAGATGAAACTTAACATGTATGTAAGTTCAAATTTGGTTACAATCAGATGAACGGTCTTAGAGTTATTGTCCTTGACTTAGTAAAGTGTGTCAAATTTGGCATTTAAATGCGATAAAGGCTACAGTTATTATCCGATCTTGGGGATCCTCGATAAGTTAGTATGCATTCTTTAGATCTGGGCCAAGTCCGAATTTGGTTACAAGCGGATGAGCCGTTTTTGCATCAATTTTGTCGTGATAGAGGATACAGTTTTTATTTGATCGTAATGAAACTTGGTATGCATGTATATCATATTGATGGTAGTGACTTGGTAACCACCAGAAGAACGATTTCGGAGTTGTTGGACCTAGTAACAAGTGGTTGCCTAGCAAGATACGCCCACTTCCCCGATAAAATTTTCAGTATATCAAGGGCGGTCACCTATCTGTGTCAAATCGTACCAAAAATCTAATTTGTACAAGATATTGTTGATTTAATAAAGCACACAAAATTTCATAAAACTTGGACATAAACTGCCAATAGATTTTGATGCATTTTAATCTACTCAGTCACATTGCCTTTTTGTTAGGTGTATAAGATTTAAATGTATTGAAAGTTGTATTTACAGTAATTTGACACGCCAAAGTTTTTATAGAAATTCTATACTGCGATATGGATGAAGTGCATTTCAAAAAAGTTGTTTAAAGATTCTGAAATAGTATTCGTGACAATTTGACATATATATTTGTAAAACTGTTTACCTAAAATATCTTTACACTTGATGAAATTGTTCATCGAAAAAATAACATGTAGTTGCCTAGCAAGATACGCCCAAAATTCTCAGCGTATCAAAGGCGTCTGTGTCAAATCTTACCAAAATCAAATTTGTACAAGATATCATGATAAATGATCATTAAATTTCATTTAAATCGGATGAAAACTGTAGTCTCTATTGTGTTCACAAACAAATTTTGACGGTTTTTATTAAGTCCAAGGCAATAATTAAAAAATTGTTCATCAAAAAATCGTCAAATTCTCATGATGATAAATGATCACGCTAAATTTGTACTTGTACAATGTACTCACAATTTCTATTTGTCTTTTCTATATCACAAGAGTGTCTTAAATTGACGAGTCGTCATTTTAACATTCAAACGCGAATAATTCGGGACACATATAGATTTGAAGGCTCAAATTTCGACGATGAGCTGTGAACAGTGTTACTGTTTGACTTATCTAAAAAAAATCCCGTTTCTAAGGTATGATTAGTCAAAAAGAATGGGACAATTGTCCCTTTAAAACAAGTGAGATTGAAACGTCTCAAAGACACTATACTGTCTTACGAGGTTTAATCCCAGCTCACGTTCCCTACTACATGACAGGCGACGGATTTGATGATAATATTCCTCGTCGGGCGTCGGTTCAGAGTGATGCATCACATATTCGCATACTTTGTACTTGCATATTCCATAAAATTTAACTTTACCATCTAGTATCGAGTAAACACAGACCCTGACAACTAGTGCAGCGATTGAAAAATTAATATAATCAATTAATTTAATGATTAAACCATTTTTAGCCTTTACATGGTGACTTACACCAGTGCAATATTAGGAAAAATGACATAATGAAAATCGGTAGACATCGGATAGCAATTAAACAAACTAGAACTGTGAACAGCTCCGAGCGTGGTAACGAGACCTTATCCCATGGCTTTTGAACCTTGTTAGTTTGGTAGCTTTCAACTCCTACAATTTTTGAAGAAGAAGTTAAAACTTGTGGGTATTTGATGCATAAATCAATTACATGTATATAATTACACTCCAGAAATGTCACCTCAAATTCTCAGTTTGTAATGAATAATAGAGAAAAAAGTTACGCATGTTGTCGTAAAATTCGTCATCGACATGAGCGGGCTACTGATCGGGAAAAACAAAACGAGAAGATGTTTATTAATATGCATTGCATAAAAAGTATCTACATGTATCTACAGTGGCTAAACTACCATTAGGACTGGTTGAACTAAGTCCTCTGGCTCCCACCCCTAGACAACATGTAACAAAGTAATACCGTAAACGTTAAAACATTTTTAAAATTTTATGGAATAATTGTTCTAAAATGATGCTTTGTTTATAAATTAATAAAATTATTAGATGCATTCCCTTATTTCAATTAGACCTATGGATGTATATATATATATTCGATTATTAATTTTTTAATTTAAAGATGGGTTTCCTTAATTTTTAGTGTTAAATTATAACAATAGCAACCTTTTTGATTAATTGGTGTTTCTACTGAATTATCATGTATTCTTAATCATATCTTTATGTTCTTGTTGGATACAATAAAGAGTTTTAACCAATCATAAATGTCCATGTATGCACAGTCTGGATAAACCAAAAAAAAAAAAAGACTTTTTGACCTTTATTGATCATTGATCACTCATTGGAATTCTGCTGGTAATTCTCTTTAAATTTAGCTAATTATGAATTAATTATGGACATGTAAGATAAACCGGTATTTTTCCAAGTCATAAGAACACCTCTACTTTCTATTCACATAATTATTAGCATTTTCATTTTCATAAATGAAAATAAGGGAACCCATCTTTAACTGGAGGGCACTATTATAAGTGCTTCGTTAACTCGTCGACAAACCTGGATAACTCGTCGACAACATTTTCTAGTTTACAAGACAAAAATATACGAATTAATCATAGGACTTAAATGGTTCGCCATGCATCAAGTTGAAGATTATCGAGGCATACCGTAATGAACAATTGTTCCATACGTTGAGTGGTAGAATGAATAATTTGAATATTGTTTCTACAGATTTTCTACAGAGGCGATATTTTAGTCGATTAATTTCCTTGTTTTTGAAATGATGTGGTCAAGTTGTTTGTTCCATTTGTTTATGCTCGTTAGAGTCAAATTTTGATTTATTGTTTAAGTAAAGAGGAAAGTTGGATGAATTGGTCTTTTTGCTGAAGGTGATTCTCTAAGTTTAGTTTTTCGGGACAAAATACTGGCCCAACCAATGATCTTGTGCAAATCTAAATCCAGGGCTTTCTGGCAGGATGAAGGGTAATGAATGTACATTGAAGTGCCATCGGCGAACAATTTTAAGTCCGATTGAATATCTTCAGCTATATCATTTATAAACACAAGAAATAGAAATGGACCAAGAATCGAGCCCTGTGTTACTCTGCTTTCACTCTCCAATACTCAGAAGTGAAACTCTGTTGAGCTTTCTTCTTTGTTTGTATGTTGGGGGTAATATTAGGTAAGTATAATAATTGTTTGTATGTTGGGGGTAATATTAGGTAAGTATAATAATTGTTTCTATGTTGGGGGTAAAGCTTGATAAGTAGATTAAAGTTTTATGTTGAATGTAATATTAGGTAAGTATAATAATTGTTTGTATGTTTGGGGTAAGGCTTGGTAAATATAATAATAGTTTTATGTTGAATTTAACATTAGGTAAGAATAATAATTGTTTGTATGTTGGGGGTTATATTAGGTAAGTATAATAATTGTTTGTATGTTGGGGTAAAGCTTGGTAAGAAAATAAAGTTTTATGTTGAATGTAATATTAGGTAAGTATAATAATTGTTTGTATGTTGGGGTAAAGCTTGGTAAGAAAATAAAGTTTTATGTTGAATGTAATATTAGGTACGTATAATAATTGTTTGTATGTTGGGAGTAATATTAGATAAGTATAATAATTGTTTCTATGTTGGGGGTAAAGCTTGGTAAGAATAATAAAGTTTTATGTTGAATGTAATATTAGGTAAGTATAATAATTGTTTGTATGTTTGGGGTAAAGCTTGGTAAGAATAATAAAGTTTTATGTTGAATGTAATATTAGGTAAGTATAATAATTGTTTGTATGTTGGGGGTAATATTAGGTAAGAATGATAATTTTTTGTATGTTGGGGGTAATATTAGGTAAGAATAATAATTTTTTGTATGTTGGGGGTAATATTAGGTAAGTATAATAATTGTTTGTATGTTTGGGGTAAAGCTTGGTATGTATAATAAGTTTTATGTTGAATGTAATATTAGGTAAGTATAATAATTGTTTGTATGTTGGGGGTAATATTAGGTAAGAATGATAATTTTTTGTATGTTGGGGGTAATATTAGGTAAGTATAATAATTGTTTGTATGTTTGGGGTAAAGCTTGGTATGTATAATAAGTTTTATGTTGAATGTAATATAAGGTAAGAATAATAATTGTTTGTATGTTGGGGTTAATGCTTAGTAAGTATAATATTTGTTTGTATGTTGGGAGTAATGTTTGTATGTTAGGGGTAACATGGGTGAAAGTTCCTTCTCCAATTGTTCAAAGCAGAAGCTGTGTTCATCAGTCCAATTCCAAGGTGTACCCTTGTAAAGTAATTGTCGAAGTATACCAGACTTCTGGCTGTAATATGGAATGAATTTGGTTTCACAATCCAAGGAAACTTCGTAGATCTGCAACAGAGTTAGGTTCATTTGATTTCTGGCGTGTTTCAACTTTACTACAGTACTGGCCAAATCAATAGCATTTTTTGTTATACAGAGTAGGAAATTGACACACAAAAAACTAACAACTTTAGTTTATCTTTTCATTATTTATTAAACCATAAAATTTACATCATATTTACATAATTATCACCTGAAAAAATAGAAACTACAAAATATATATGAAAAAATTTAAGTTAGTGATTTAATGAAAATTAATGATAAATGTTGTATTGTGGAATATAACTAAACATATTTACAGTAAGATGTCTACACCTCAGTGCTGGTGATATTGATTGATACGTACCGCACAATATTTTGCTTAAATGAATCAAATTATGAACTCACTCGAAATGATTACTAATTTTTGAAACGGTGTACCAAAAAACAGAGTATTAATTGTTAGATCAGTGGCTTGTAAAAGGTAGAAAGTAGTGCTTCGTGCATCTGAATATATCGGACAGTGGAGTAGGTAATGTTCAGGGTCTTTGAATTGGTGACCACAAATGCAAGTAGGGTTGTCCAAAATATGACACATTTGTGTCCATTTAGATCGCTACAAGAAAGAGGCAATGTAGAAATTGAAAGTTTTGATGGTAATTCGATTTTTTTAGTTAATAGGGGGGTTGTACCAGTCTCTGATGTTTTATAGTATGAAGGAGTACCCTAAATATTATTTTTTCCAGATCTTCATTTACTACATTCGCACTAACTGTTGGGTCACCAATTTTGAGATACAGACTGGTGTCGTCTACAAATAATCATATGTTAGATCTTATATTATTGAGAATATCACCGAGCCCTGCGGAACACCAGCTGGTACAGTTCTTGGACCAGAGAAGACTCCACTTCCAACGACTCTTTGTTTTCTATCAGATAAATAATTTCTTCTAAACCATGCTAGTAATTCCCCCCTGATTCCAGCTGCACCAAGATTACGACATCCAAGACTCTGTCAAAAGTCTTGCTAAAGTCGCAGAACACCGTCCTTGTATATGATCCTTGATCATTGGCAAAAGAAGTGCGTGAGATCTATTGGTTAATGGACAGTTAGCTCACCGTGCACAAAACCGCTTTTATAGATTAGTAAATATAATGTTTGCTTGCAGGAAGTTAAAGGCATGTCTATAAAAACATTTTTCAAAATCTAGATGTTTAGTAAAGATACAGGTCTATAGTTACTACATTCAGATGGACCACCTTTTTTTTTATAAATAGCTGTGTTGATGTTAATGAGCATATCTCTAACTCTATTCTTCAAAATACTTCATGCCAAAACCCGTAGTCGTGATACGATGGGAGTGTTAGTACTATTTGGGTGATGGAATTGTGACATCAAAAAATAAGAACTTAAATGATAATATTGTTCATAGTAAACTAAAAACAATCAGTACATAGCAGATACTATAATTCTCGCCCATCGGGCGAGTTATTTGTTCTAATTTCAGATCAGAATAAGAACAGAAGAAAACCCAATATCAAGACCCTTAATCCTAACTTCTAAATAAAGTGTCTGCTCCACACTAGGCCTGTACATTTGGGAGAATCAAACCCTCCCTTCCCCGAAATCTATTCTTCAAAATACTTCATGCCAAAACCCGTAGTCGTGATACGATGGGAGTGTTAGTACTATTTGGGTGATGGAATTGTGACATTGTGAAAGTTCGGAAAGTTGTGAATTCATAGTGTCTAGCTGTGACTGCTTTTTTTTAAGGCAGTAAGAGCTACTACAACATTGTTGACCAATTAAAGGGAGGTATTTCAGATTTGGAAATGTTTTGATCTTTTACATTAGACTTAATAAATTGACACCAATCTTTAGATCCATAGTTGTTCTGTTCGTTGATTTTATCGTTAATAATTTCATAGTATTCTATTTTGCATTTCCGAATAAGTTTAATGTATTGGTTCCTGATTAAATTGTTACCAATTTTCGTCAGATCTGACGACTTTTTTTTGCATTATTCATCCAAAGTTAATCTCTTGGTCCAATTGTTTGGGTTATTAGATTTGGTTATCCTCATCAACTCGTCTGTAAAGGACGCAATTGAAAGATCAATATTGTCCTGTCAACAATGGCATCCCATTTTGTATCCCATTTTGTACTCAGTACGTCCTAAGTTGTTCTTTTCTTCAGAGAAACACTGGTGTTGGTGTGCCCCTGGATGGTATATATTTCTCCCCCTTTAATTTTCAAATATGAAGCGTGTATACTAAAACCGCTACGTCTGCAGTAAATAAGAACATTACATTTCGATAACATCAATTGATCCACATAAGCAGCTTCTTGAGAACTACAAGCCAATGTTAAATTGAATCGCATATTATCTGGATGTATTACCATGGCGTAACTTCCAATATACCTTGCACCGTATTTAGATATAGCACTTTTTCTGACATCGAGGTCATCTGTGGCCACAAAAATCCTAGATTTTTCATGATAATTGTCATCAATAAAATCCCAAATCTTAGAGACAGCCGAAAGGGGTAATCCCTTAAAAGGGCGAGGAAAATATCCACAATGACGAATTCTTAAATGTGCACAAATTAGTTCATTCCCAGATGTTTTAGCGTCCAGATTTATTTTGCCACTGGACTCTATTTTCGATACTTGACTCGTAAGTCTTTCTGTGGGAATCATTAATCTGTTCCATGCTTCTCGAAAAATTAATGCACGATTTTTGTAATGTATGTTTTTTAAAAAATCTGGTAAAAACTTAGTATAATTCTTTACTATCTTTTCATAACTGTAACAATTGGCTTTTACATACAACACCTCTGCTGTTTCGGACTCGTTCAGGTTTAGGTTCAACAGTGTACAGTTTGCCATGTAATTAAGAGTTTTATTAGTTTTGTATTGCAATCCTTTTAATTCCTCTTCGGTGAATATCCAATTATATTCTTTGGTAGGTTGATAATAGGGTCTAATATCACATGGTGAGGTGAGCACAATTTTAAATGTCCGTTTCCACACCATAGAAAGAAAAAATGAACAAACTATTCCCCTCTGTCTGTCACCCCAACCACCACATTTATTCTTGTCATCGCACACATATACCAAATATCTTTCATTTATTTTCGTGGGGCTTGGTTCCACATTCTCTTTTTTCAGGATTTGTACCTCATTCTGTTCATTTCCATAAATAATATGTGGCTCGGTTGTTGTGCTTTCAGGATTGCGACAGGTCATTACACTGGTTAATGGTAATGAATACCATATAATTATACATAGTAATGCTACTGTAATATACCAGCGCCAGTTTCTTCTAATCATCATCCTAAAATGACAAAAAAAGTGTTGATAATATTATTCATTATAACGGGACAATAGGTCTATTAATCCGACAACTGTACCGGTACGTATAAAATTCGAAAAGCTAACACTGTATATAGTATGGGATCATTCTATCGAACAATTTTCAATTATTTAAATCTTTTTAAATGGAAATGGAATGTGGAGCGTATATTGGCATCTTCAATGTCCTTCCACAATTACTCGTAAACACTCTAGAGGGCACAATTCTTGATGGATTTTGATGAAACTTGGTGTGTGAGTGTTTGTTTAAGCACCCAAGGATGAACCCTATTGAAAGTCAGAAAAATCGGAAAATATTTGACATGATTTTATTGCAAGCTATCTTCTAATAATATTCACTGCTTCCAAAATCCAGGCTTGGCCGGTTGTATCCTGGGTGGCTCAATCAGTCTGGTTTCACCTAGGTAAAATGTGATTTGAACCCATAAAACCTTTCAAGAGGTTTCCATCCGCAGCAAATATCAAAACAAGTAGACCTCAATCAAACAATGCTTATGACATTGTCTATAGGAGGATATGTAGGTAGGGTGGCAAGAGTTCATCACTCCCACTCTTGAAAATAACGAACATGACTCCGAACCAGTTACTCTGATACTACATGTTTGCCTCAACGACCGCAACCAGTCACCAAAATACTCCTTACCCCAAACTGTTTATTCAAATTTATTCGTCACTGGTTTGTTATATGGAAAATCACTCTTGAAGTCCAGACAATCAAATGCATGATCTCTCGTTATTTACCGTTGATTTTAACTATACAGTTTCCTACTTACACAGATGAACACATCCGCGCCATTTTTTTTTTGACCAACCATATTTTAGTCTCAGGAACGGATTTTTTTTAGCTGAGCTAATCAGTAAGAGTGTTCACAGCTTACCGTCGTAATTTGAGCCTTCAAATCCATGTGTGTCCAGAATTATCCGTGTTTGAATGTTGAAATGACGACTCGTCTTTTTAAGATACTCTGTGATATAGAAAAGACATATATAGAAATTGTGAGTAGAAGTCCTAGTTTGGGATATTTTTTAGCGATTTTCGTACATTTCTGGTACTTCTGAAGAAGTGTTTGGATGTTGAAATGACGACTCGTCTTTTAAAGATACTCTGTGATATATAGAAAAGACATAATATAAAGAAATTCTTAGTTTGAAGTGTTTTTGAAGGAATAATGCGAATTTCGTACATTTCTAGTACTACTAAGGAGTATTTTCAAGACGCAAATCACCCCTCCTCCCTCCCCTCCTAAATAGTGTCCCTTTAAGGTGTATTTTATTTTTTTATAGTAAAACTGGTTTAGTTTCTAAAACCATCTATTCTATCAATAAATGATTTTTTTGATATTTTATGGAATAATTATTCTAAAATGATGCTTTGTTTATAAATTAATAAAATTATTAGATGCATTCCCTTATTTCAATTAGACCTATGGATGTATATATATATATTCGATTATTAATTTAAAGATGGGTTTCCTTAATTTTTAGAGTCAAATTAAGCAAAGTATTTGATTAATTGGTGTTTCTACTGAATTATCATGTATTCTTAATCATATCATTATTAATTAAGAGTTTTAAATGTCCATGTATGTACAGTCTGGATAAACAAAACAAAAAGAAAAACAAAACCATTTGACCTTTCTTGATCGGTCACTCATTGGAATTCTGCTGGTAATTCTCTTCTAATTTAGCTAATTGTGAATTGATAACGGACATGGGAGACAAACTGGTATTTTTTCAAGTCATTAGAACACCTCTACTTTCTATTTATATAAGTATCAGCATTTTCATTTTCATAAATGAAAATAAGGGAACCCTTCTTTAAAAGAATTTGAACTTATGTTAAGTTGTTCAGGGAATCTAACAGAAGAAACAAAAAGATGTATGTTATTAAAGAGATATTCAGGATTTGGTTGAAGGTTTACCAAATACTGGTACAACTTATCAAGAAGCCAAACAACACTATTATGAGGGGGACATATAGTTTTTGAGAGATTTAATTTTAGAGAAATAACCAGAATAAAGAAGGAACCAGAAGGGTCTATATAAAGCAATTTATAGCCAGATTGGAAAAGCAGCAAGATATTGTCAAAGAAAAATCTTCTGAGATGTCCTTCCAAATACTGAAGAGCTGCATATATTATTATTTAACATTATGAACTGTAGATATGAAAATTTTGTATCAAGAGATTTTTAACTTCCGATATTATACTGTTTTAAAAAGAAACCCCATTACCTTCCTTCAAAATGATGCAAGAAAGTTTAATCAAACAGACTATGAACATCCCCAGCCTTCTTCCAACTCTTTCATCCCACCCTGTCATGTGTAAATATGTTTAACTGTGAGTCTCATTGTGTTTGTGTCAATCTGGGAGAGGTGTATAATTAAAGCAATTATTTTATTTATATAAAACTTTGAGAGAAGACGTGCTCTCAACTGGATATGGCATCGCAATATAATATAGCAAAACAAGAGAAAGATCATGACACAGCCTAAAAAGCAACTTATTAGAATATCCTGGTTTTGTATTTTACGAAAAGTGAATGTCACTTGTACCTACATGTATCTACATTCCAGACATTAGGGTCCTTGAGACGTTTCAGCTTCACTTGTTTCATTTATTTCTTGTAACAAACCCGTTGGGGCTTTGGTGTGTGTCGCTCTCTTATTATCCTAAGACGGGGTGCAACTAAAGCGCCTTTTCATATTCAATATTCAAAATAAGAAAAGCGGTTGCTATGTAAAGTAGTTATAAATAGATAGCCATTTACCCATCTAATAAAGAATAAAAATTCTATTTCAAAGCTGTACGCGTTATGTGATAAAAATGGATCGTTGTTAAGAAAGAGTTACTCTCCTATTGCTTAAAGGTACAGCAGTGCCATTTTCGGGGGTTAATTTGAGTCTTTAATATATCTAAATAATCTTCAGAAGTACTAGAAATGTACGAAAATCACACAATTCCTTCAAAAGTATCTCAAACTAAGAATTTTACTGATTATTTCTGTATATCACAGAGTAGCCTTTAATTGACGAGTCGTCATTTTAACATCCAAACGCAGATAATTCTGGACACACATGGATTTCAGCGCTCAAATTTCGACGGTGAGCTGTGAACACTATAACTGATTAGCTCAGCTACGACTGCCCCCTTTGCCCCCTTTGGCTACACCACTGACCTCACTGACCAAAGCGCATCTTCCTACAAGAAAGTGTGTATGATCATTGGTATTGATGAGATCTTGGACATGTTCGATTTTGACGATCTTTAGATTAACGGATTTTTAGTTATTGCCCTTGACTTAGTAAAAACGCCTCAAAATTTGTTTGTGAACACTACAGAGACTTACAAGGAGTTTTTGGTCAAGTTCGATGATTTTTTCATGAACGGAATTTGAGGCAATTAGGCAACTTCTTAGAGATAATGTATTTTAAACGGAAATCAATTGTTATTTTTTACTATTCTTACATTCCTATTTCAATTTTTATATGTTTTTTATTTTAATTTTAATTTAATTCTAGGTTTTTAATATATTATTTTGACTAAACGTTAATTTTGATCTGTTTTAGTCGAATGTTTATGTATTGTTTTATTAAACATGATCTATTTTATCTATTTTATCTATTTTATCCGAATCAATTTAATTATGTATTTATATATTGCTTTATTTTAATTTGTGTATATAAATTTATATTTCGCAAGTGTCTCGTAAGCCACTTTTTGCTGGAAACAAATATGTATTATCTCTTTGTATGTTATTCGCGATGTTTGTGACACTTATTTTAATAAACTAGTTTGTTATCGAAATGTCAATTCTTTTTTTTTTTTTTTTTTTTCGAAATTTACACACCTTCCTGAGCTTAGACTACAATAGTTGCAGCAACCATTCAACATTCACGAACCTTAGATATAGGCGACGATGTGCATAAATATATTTTGGATCTTTTTTGCAAAACCGGAAGTGCCACAGTTCAATATATGCAAGAATAGTTAATCGGCTCTAGAAGTCGTATTTTTCGGTCGATTTTCTTTGGGTTTGCATTTTTGGAATCTACTGGCAAAATCTGAAAGAATAGCAGTTTCAAAATTTCAAAATTCGAAAATTTGTCGCAGACATTTTTTTTTGCCAAATTTTGCATTTTTTTTCATTTTTTTGCTTTTTGTCTGATTAATCTGAAAAAAATTGAGCAAAGACAGTTTAAGAAAGTAAACAAAATGGTACAGTAAAAATTTCAATTTCACTTCCGGTTTAAACAGGAAATCGATGTTCACTTCCGGTTGAATATCTTCCGGTGTAATTTGTATAGGACAAAAAAATTTATGCTGATAGATAGACAAAGTTATGACAAAAAAACGAAGAAAAAAGAAATCCGGAACAGACGTGAAACTTTTCAAAATTTTGGTGTCAAATGAAAGAACATAAAAATTAAGAGAGATCGCAGGAAGCCGATTTTTGAATTTCGATTTTGCTTTTTTGCAATTTGCGATTGAATTTTTTCAATATTTGATGGCGTATATCTCGTGACCTTGACCTTTGATGACCTTGACCTTTATAGGGTCAAAGGTCATTGACCTTGGCTATCATTTGATACTTTGACCTTTGACCTCCGACATGTACTTCCGGTTTTATAGCTATCCGTAAAAAGCCAAATTCGCAACTTTGGACTGCCTTAGCACGTGACCTAATTAACCTAGAGGGTTAATTTTTTCGGTTTTCTAATGTGCTTCTCATGTACTTTACTAAGATATAGAACAATTGCTTTTTTAAAGCAAAATTGAAATTCGTGATTTTTTCAAATTTGAGTTTAGTTTTACCATATTTGTGTCTTTTTGATCTTCGTGTATGTATATCTTATGACCTATTCTATGTAGAACCTTGATATTTGGAATACAACTAGACACTTTGAATATGAATTCACCTATGACAAAAAAATTGGGGTTGAATTACTAATTGTTTACATTTTGCGGCTGGGGCATAACTCGCATAGGATGCGTTTGTTCAAAAAGGGACTTTGCACACAATTACCTCATCCTTTTGGCCAGTTTGTGTTAACAGCTCAGTTGTTTCAGCTTTATAGTTCCAAAAAAGGAACGGGTTTTAACATTTGGATATTTTCATTTTTCGATTTTGACCTTTATTGACATTTGTTGACCTATATCTTTTGACCTGAATAATGTAGAATCTTGAAATTTAAACCACAACGTAACATTTGGAATATCAATTACCCTATGCAAAAAAATTAAGGTGGGCTTGGCACATCCGGGTAATATTACTCATTATTGATATTTTTGGCCAGGAGCACAACTCGCAAAGTATACGTTTGTTCAAAATGGAACTTTGCATACAATTATCTCATGAATTGAGCCACTTTGTCTTAGAAGTTCGGTTGTTTCCGCTTCTTAGTTCAAAAAAAGGAACAGGTTTTGGAAATTCAAAATTTTCAATTTTTGACCTTGACCTTTGATGACCTTGACCTTTATTGGGTCAAAGGTCACTGACATTGTCTATTAGTTTATGCTTTCATATTTGACCTCTGACGTCTACTTTCGCTTTTATAGCTGTCCAAAAACATCCAAATTCGCAACTTTGGACTGCTCTAGCACGTGACCTAATTAACCTAGAGAGTAAATTTTTTCGGTTTCCTAATGTGCTTCTCGTGTACTTTACATAGATATATAACAATCGTTTTTTTAAAGCAAAATTGAACTTGACATTTGGAACATAACGTAACATTTTGAATATTGATTAACTTATTCAAAAACAATTGAGTTGGGCGTGGCACTTCCGGGTTAAATT